CTACCAATCCATGAACGTGGAATGTCTTTCCATTTTTTGTGTGTCCCCGTTAATTTTTTTCATTAGCATTTTGTTGTTTTCATTACAGAGATTTTTCACCTCCTTGGTTAGATTTATTCCTGGGAATTTTATTTTTTGGTAGCTATTGTAAATGAGCTTGCTTTCTTGATTTCTTTTTTTGCTAGTTCATTGTTGGTGTATAGAAATGCTACTGAATTTTGTATATTGATTTTATATCCTGTGACTTCATTGAATTTGTTCATCAGCTTTAAGAGTATTTTGGTGGATTCTTTAGGTTTTTCTGTATATAAGATCATGTCATCTGCAAATGGACAGTTTGGCTCCCTCTTTTCCAATTTGTATGCCCTTTATTCTTTTCTCTTGCCTAATTGCTCTGGCTAGAACTTACAGTTCTGTGTTGCATAGGAGTTTGTATACTTCCCATGGAACTAGGGCAGACCAGGTTGGAGTAGGGTAGGGACTGCCAACTGTGGTAGTTCCTAAAAGGGGGTGCCCTGGGGTTAGGTCACACTGGGAGTGATATCATGGGAGTTGCCTAAGAATTCACTAAACCCATCTTTCTCTAACTCCAGTATTTTAGTCATCTATTAAAACTGTTAATTTGCCTACCACTTTTCTTTCTTTTTCTTTTTTTTTTTTTTTGTCTTTTGTCTTTTTCCGTGTCTGGCAACGGATCGCAACCCTCAGTGTTGCCCCCGTACCGGACTGGGGACCGGCAACAGGATTGCAACCCTCGGTGCTGCTCCCACGCCTTGCTCAGCCAGTGAGCGGGAACCGGTCTGTATGTGGGATCCGGGATCGCAACCCTCGGTGTTGCCCCCGTACCGGACTGGGGACCGGCAACAGGATTGCAACCCTCGGTGCTGCTCCCACGCCTTGCTCAGCCAGTGAGCGGGAACCGGTCTGTATGTGGGATCCGAACCCTCGGGCGGGAGCGCCGCTGCGCTTCCCAAGCGGCGCACTTATCCAGTGCGCCACCGGGCCGGCCCGACCACTTTTCTGTATTCTATTTACTTTTATGATTTTTTGAGGTTGCTTTTGTATTCTCTATGTTAGATTCTTATATTCCTTTTTTACTACTGCCATAACAAATTAACCCAAACTTGGCAGTTTGAAACAACACAAATTTTTATCTTATTATTCTGTAGTTCAGAAGTCTGACATGGGTCTCAAGGTGTTGGCAGGGCTGTGTTCCTTTCTGTAAGCTCTAGAGGAGAATCTATTTTCTTGCCTTTTCTAGTTTCTAGAGACTACCCACATTCCTTGGCTCATGGCTCCTTCCATCTTCAAAGCCAGCAATGGCTGGTCGAGTCTCTCTCATATTGCATCACTCTGACTTTCTTCTGCCTCCCTCTTCCACATTTAAGGGTCCTTGTGATTTATACTGCATCCCCTGGAAACTCTTCTTGTTTTAAGGTCAGCTGATTAGCAACTTTAATTCTACCCACAACCTTAATTTCCCTTTGCCATGTACATAACATATTGACAGATTCTGGGGAGTAATATTTGAGTATCTATGGGATGCTACTATTCTGCCCACCACAGTTCTTCTCTGTAATTTAAATGCAGAATTCTGTGCAAACTCTAACCCATCTGCTGATGTATGACTTGCAGCAAATACTCTGCTATATCCCATTTTAAGCTTCCCCCATTATCACTTGCCAAATCTCTTAAAAAAATTTTCTTTTTACCTATACTTAGGACATCATATCCCATCTTTCCTCTTAGAAACCTGCCTGTCGTTGTTTCTCTTTTTCACCTGAGTCTTCAACTTCTCTCTTTACTCCTTCCTATTAGTATTTAAACATGCTCAAATCTCTCCCATGTTACCAATTTTAAAAAGACACTTCTCCAGCACTTTTCTCCATTATAGGCAGACATCTTGACAGCATCTCCAATTAGCTCTGGTCACTGCTTAACCCCCTGACATCTGGTTTTACTGTTATATACGCAACAACCAGTACAAGGCCTGGCCTAGGATATGTGTACACTAAATGTTAAATGAACAACTGAATTTCTGCCTGATCACCCAAGTTTATTATGAAGTCTCTGGTGATATTCTCAGTATACGAACTGCTCTTTTGAGATTTTTTTTTTTTTGCTTGCCTCAGTTAACTTACATTTGCTGTTGAGGGTGCCTATCGTGGATCACAAAGTCAAATATAAATTTTTTCAGCAAATGTTTTATTGTGTTTGGGATGACATGTGTCACTGCTCCATTAATCCTTATTTTCTCTTATATTTGATTAGCATTTCATAGTTTTCATAATGCTTCTGCATATAATATTTTATTTAGTTTTCATTGATACTTTGTGAAATAGGTATGGCAAGGAGGTGTTCCTGTTTCAGAGATTAAGTTCTTGAGGCCAAGAGCAACTAAGGTATTTTCTCAAGTCACAGACAAAGTTAGTGATATATCTGGGACTAGCACTCAGGATTACCAACTCTTTGCCTTGAGTTCTTTTGGTGTTACATGCTGATTATAGTAAGAGATTCAAGAGCAAAGTAAAGTATAGAAAATCATCAAAGGTGGTAGTAATTTATGCTTGGCTTGTTTCCACAATGTTTTAAAATTTATGTTCCACGCATGTTTTGACAAAATCGCACCTGAATTCCATTGACATGATTAGGTAGTAGCAGTGAAGAATAATTAATGTGCTGGATGAGCTGAGGAAATGAGACAGTAGTGAGTTGTTTGCTGCTATTAAGCTAAAGGTCTTAGCTGAACAACCTCAAATTTGTGGTTTGGCGTAGAAATGAAGTAGTATTTCTGTCTCGAACTCAATACAACTCTGTGTTCTAGTGCTGTTGTGAATGACATTTTAAGGGTTCTCTGTAGGAGGCATACCTAATGAGAACATGTGAAAGGATTCTTGTTGAATGTTCTTTACTGTCTTTTGAAAGGCAAGTGGGAGGTTGAGGGATTAAGTATTGGAGTGTTAGACAAGTGATTTGAATTACTGAGAGTTTCCTACTTACCATCATTAAAATAATGTTATGCATTTAGAAAGTTTAAATCTAGTTCTGAAGTAAACAAACTTCTCCATTCCGAATGCTTGCTCGCTTAGAGAATTAGTTTAAATTTGATTTTTATGTGGGGGACAATTTGGCCCACTCCAGGTGGGGTGTAATTTCTCTGCCATCTCACCTACACAATTCTTTTATAGTTGCTGGGTTGTGTTTTCATCCCTTCACCTTACTGTCCTTTTCATACCTGATTGCTCTCCATAGGTCTCCAACTCTGACTGGGTTCCCCTTTCTTTTTCTGGGAACTTAAACACTTTGACTTTTAGGTTGTTTAGTTTACGTAGGCCGCTAACATTAAGGACCAAGGGAAACTCTTCTAAAGAGTATGGGTGACATAAGGGCCATGGTGTGAAGCAGTGAATTGAGGTGGGTAAGAGTGAGGTTTCTAGGATCAAGTAGGCCTATTTTACATCACAGCTCCTCCACGGGCTAGCTGTGTGACACCGAGCAAATTTTTAATCTCTTCTAGCAATAGTTTTCTCATCTCTCTGAATGGGGTAGTAGTGTCTCTCTCATAAGGTGATTGCCAGGATTGAGTCAACTAAGATAAAGCACTTAGCACAGTGCTTGATACATGATGCCAGCTCAGTAAATTCAGTTGTAATTATTCTTGCCATTATTATTATTGAAATGGAACTGGAAACAGTTAAGAATTTTTATGCAACCTTGGGAAAATTGCTTTATCCATTTAGACTTCGTTTTTTTTAATCTATAAAATGAAGTACTGAGTAGGGGTACTACCTTGTAGACAATTGATAGACCTATTCAGGCCTGATTATGTTAATGTATGTTGCTAATGTATCTGAGTCACACTCTTTAAACTCCACCTACTTTAATTCAAGAAATCTTTCGATGTTTTTTATCACTCAGGCCTTCCTCTGCTCATCAGAATGACTTGTCCATGTGTCATATTCCTTTAGGTTCTTCTAAATGACAGCTCACTTAGTAAGCAATTTCATGCAATGTGTTCCAAATAACCAATACTGGTAACTTTGGCATAATGGTTTAATATGTTACTCTTTTTAGACAGTATTTTTAAAAACCAGAAGGATTTTCATGGTGAAATTTTTTTTTAACCTGTGTTTCTCAAATTTTCTACCAAAGCCTGGGGGTTTAGGGAACATGCCCCTAGTTGACCCTCCCACTCAGCTCCAATCATAAAATATCTTTGAATTATCATATTTTATCTTAATATTCATTTAAACTTTATATTCTACTCCATAATATAGCCATGTTTGTTTTAATATTAAAATATTTTAAATTACATATCAGTTCTTATTAAATTCCCCACCTGCTTAAGCATTCAGTAAAATCGATGCTTCATGTGAATTAGGTAGCTTTACGTTTATCCGGTAGCTTTGAGTACCTCTTATGACCTTATTTAGAACAGCAGGGTAATCTACAGGAATAGTTCTGATGATGGAACTTTTATACTTTTGGGATATGTGGAAATCTGAACTTGCAGAAACCCTCTTTCTTTCCTTTAGGAGCAGGGGCTTTCTCAGATTATCTTCTGATCTCTTCATCTTTGCTTGCAATTGCAGGGTGGAATGGTAAAAGGACAGCTAGGAGATCTGAAATCTGTTAGCAATGTGGCCTACAGCAAGTCATTTCTCTAAACTTGAATTTCTTTACATTAAATAGGCTTTATGATTTTTGATGATCTCTCAAATGAGATGAAATTCATGGTTGTGTGTGCCCCGTACCAGTCAATACTTTCCTGTCTATAATATTTGCATTCGTGATCATTTATTTGGTGTCTGTATTTTCTGTAAGACTTATGTAACCTTCAAAGACCATGGGTGTGTTGCATGCAGCAATATGCCTTTCTAAAGTGCTTTCTAAACTGCTTGACACATAGTATTCATCCATTCATTCATTCCAAAAATATTCATTCCGAAATAAAATAGTCAGGTACTGTTTTAGGTATAGGAATATGGCAGGCAAGGTCCCTAATCTTATGGAGTTTAGCTTCTAGATGTGGTCCTCAAATGTGAAAATAGATCCTAACATTTCTGTCATTTTATTAACCACAAACATTTTTCTTTCTAGCCCTGAATTGTCATCTCCAGCTCCTACTGATGGTACTTCAACATTGGGAGGTATGTTCTCATGCCTTTATTCACTTTTCTTTTTAAATTATTTATGGTGTACGACTATCTTGCAAGCAAGGACACTTTTTCAGCTCACTTTTAAAAAAATATCAGGTTTCTATGTGGAGTCTCAAGAAAAAGTAGTTATTTTTTTCACTTATTTTATGACCTTATGCTGTAGGTAGTTAAAAATATTTAATGGTTAAGTATTATACAAATTAGAACTCTGCTTAAAACAAATGTATTACCTAGTGAATTATTTTAAGGCAAACACACTGTTGCCACTATTTATGTCAAAAGGTAGAACTGTTCTAGTTCTTCATTTCTCATTTGTCCTGTAGTTTCCCAGAGTAAGAATTTTTCTGATTGTATTCTTTGGAATAGTTTAACATGTTCCTTTGACCTCTATATTTCTTGTAAATTGGTAGTTGCTTTTTTTATTCTTAATTTAAAAAACCCACAGATTTCTCTGTATTCAAAATTCCAAACATCCATAAAAATAGAACAGCACGATGAAGTCCAGTTTCAACAATTGTCAATTCATTGCCAATCTCCAACTTTCTCCAACTTCCCCTCTCTGGTAGAGCTACCTCTTTCAGCATCTGTCCCTTTTACTAGTTAGCTCATTAAGGATAGGACCTTTGTCTTTGTATCCCTAGTGTATTGTGCACAGCCTGGAGTATGGTAGGTACTCAATAAATGCTCATTGAATGAATCATAATTGTTTCTTGTTCTGGGAAGACTCTATGCAAATGTGTCTTGAGGTTAGAATGCACTGAATTTCCAGGATGAGAAAGCAAACAACTTATAGGAATGGATTTTGAAGTCAGTTCCTTATTTCCTGATATAAATTCTGACTTAGTCAGGTACTGAATTCATACATATGTTTTTATTTTTCTACTTAGGTGCTGCTCTCAGTGTTTCATATCCAGGAACTGCCTCCTATGAAGGTGCCTCAGAAAGCAGCTTGGAAAGGCCAGAGGAGAGTGTGAGTGATGCTCTGCTTTGTTACTTAGTTTCTAACATGGAGAATAGGGGTTAAGAGAGAGTTTATATTCCATTGCTGGACTAGGCTGGACTAGACAGGACTACGTGTGGTGCCCTGTTATGGAAATGTGGATTCTTTTTTATTATTCTTTATTATAAACATATAATTATACAAATCATGATTTTTCTTTATGCCCTTTATTGAATTTATACCTCCCCAAACCACCTCCACCTCTCCCCATCTCTAGTATCCTTAGGCTTGTTTTCCCCTTCTGAAAGTTCAACATATGGTTTTGGTTTTTTCTTTCTTTCTTTTCTTTTTCTTTTCCTTCCTCCCTTCCCTCTCCTCCCTTCCCCCTCTCCCTCCACTCCCTCCTCCTCCTCCCACTTTCTCCCCCTCCCCTTTCCCTTCCCCTTTCTTTCTACCCAGTTGTAACTGAGATCATGCAGTATTTCTCTTTCCTCTTCTGGCTTATTTCACTTCATATAATTTTCTCCAGACTCATCCACATTGCTGCAAATGGCAGAATTTCATTCTTTTTTATGGCTGAGTAGTATTCCATTATGTATATATACCACATTTTCCCTATCCAGTCATCTGTTGATGGACACTTAAGTTGGTTCCGTATTTTGGCCATTGTAAATAGAGCTGTGGTGAATATGGGTGTGCAGGTATCCTTTTGTCATGATGATTTCCATTCCTTTGGATATATGTCCAGTAGTGGGATTGCTGGATCATATGGTAGTTCTATCTGTAGTTGTTTGAGGAACCTCCATACTGTTTTCCATAGTGGCTGTACTAATTTGCAGTCCTACCAACAGTGTAGAACAGTTCCCCTCTCCCCACATCCTCACCAGCATTTGTTGTTCATGGTTTTTTTAATAATGGCCAGTCTAACTGGGGTGAGGTGATATCTCAGTGTGGTTTTGATTTGCATTTCTCTGATGACTAGTGATGTTGAGCACTTTTTCGTATACCAATAGGCCATTTGTATGTCTTCCTTTGAAAAATATCTATTTATCTCCTTTGCCTATTTTTTAATTGGATTGTTTTTTTACTGCAGTTGTTTGAGTTCTTTTTTTTTCCTTTTTGTCTTTTTTCGTGACCGGCAACGGATCGCAACCCTCAGTGTCGCGCCCGTACCGGACCGGGACCAGCAACGGGATTGCAACCCTGCAACCCTCGGTGTTGCACCCGCACCTCGCTCAGCCAGTGAGTGGCCGGTCTGTATGTGGGATCCGAACCCTCGGCGGGAGCGCCGCTGCGCTTCCCAAGCAGCGCACTGTAGCAGTGCGCCACCGGGCCGGCCCCTTGAGTTCTTTATATATTCTGGATATTTATCCCTTTGTGGGATAAATATACAGTTTGCAGGTATTTTCTCCCATTCTGTAGGTTGTCTTTCTGCTCTGTGGTTGTTTCCTTTGCTGTGCAGAATCATTTTAATTTGATGTAGTCCCATTTTAAAATTTTTGTTGTTGTTGTTGTTTGTGCTTTTGGGGTCTTATTCATAAAGTCTTTGTCCAGTCCTACTTCCTGGAGTGTTTCCCCTGTGTTTTCCTTTAGTAATTTTATGGTTTCAGGTTTTATATTTAAGTCTTTAATCCATTTTGAGTTGATTTTGGTATATGGTGAGAGGTGCAGGTCCAGTTTCATTCTTCTGCATACAGAAGTCCAATTATCCCAGCACAATTTATTGAAGAGGCAGTCTTTTCCCCAGTGTATGTTCTTGTTGCCTTTGTCAAAGATCAGTTGGCTGTAAGTATGTGGGTTGATTCCTGGGTTTTCTATTCTGTTCCATTGATCTGAGTGTCTGTTCTTATGCCAGTACCATGCTGTTTTGGTTACAATAGCTTTGTAATATAATTTGAAGTCAGATAGTGTTAAGCCTCTAGCTTTATTAATTTTTTTTTTTGCTCAGGACTTCTTTGGCTATTCAGGATCTTTTGTAGTTCCACGTGAATGTCAGGATTTCTTTTTCTATTTTTGTGAAGAATGACATTAGTATTTTGAGGAAGATTGCATTGAATCTGTAGATTGCTTTGGGTATGACAGACATTTTCACAATGTTAATTCTTCCCATCCAAGAGCATAGCTCAACATATGCAAGTCAATAAATGTGATATACCACATCAACAAAATCAAGGACAAAAACCATATGATTATCTCAATAGATGCAGAAAAAGCATTTGACAAAATACAACATCCCTTCATGATAAAGACCCTCAGCAAATTAGGTATAGAAGGAAACTATCTCTACACAATAAACGCCATTTATGACAAATCAATTGCCAATATCATCCTAAATGGGGAAAGGTTGAGAGCTTTTCCCTTAAGAACAGGAACAAGACAAGGATGCCCACTCTCACCACTCCTATTTAACATAGTATTGGAAGTACTAGCCAGAGCAGTCAAGCAAGAGAAAGAAAGAACAGGCATCCAGATTGGAAAGAATGGAGTCAAACTATCCCTGTCTGCATATGACATGATCTTATATATAGAAAAACCTTAAGACTCTAAAAACTCATAGAGCTGATCAATAATTTCAGTAATGTTGCAGGATAAAAAATTAACACCCCCAAATCAGTAGCATTCTTATACTTCAATAATGAACCAGCAGAAAAAGAAATCAAGAAAGCGAGTCTAATTTAACCAAGGAGGCAAAAGATCTCTACAATGAGAACTACAAATTACTACTGAAAGAAATTAAAGAGGACACAAAAAGATGGAAAGACATACCATGTTCTTGAATGGGAAATGTGTGTTTAAAAACTAGTACACTAAAAAGAATCTGTGATTCTTTGGAGAGTTGAGTAAATCTGCTCTTATTGGCAAGTTCTTGTTGAGTCATGGCTTCAAATTGTAAATGAAATGATTGAGGTCTGGGAACCTTGGGGACTGTCACTGTGGTAAGCTCACTGCCTCTTATGGGCTCTGTGAGATGGTTTACTAAGGGGGGATTTGCCTCTGTTATTCTATCCCTTAATAGATCAGGTCTTAGCCTTCTCTTCTTCAGAGGGAAAGAATATAGATTTTATGTAGCTTAAAAAAACAAAAAAACAAACAAACAAAAAAAAAAACCCATGCTGTTTAAATGTACCATTCTTAGTAGAAACCTGTCCACTTAATAACATTAAATCTTATAGCTGAGTATCACAAAAACTACAGATTAACAAAAAAATTATATACTGCCCAGGTAGATAGAAACATTTTATTAGAAATTTTGTTAAATTCTGCATTTAAAAAATTTGAGTGTTCATAAATCCTAGATTATAGGGATAAAGCAAATTCTGACTGAACATATTCCCTGGAAAGATGCAGTTTAGTTACCTTGCAACTTCCCTTTCCACCTTGGACATTTTAAGTTACATGGAATCAGGTTAGGTCACCCTACTCTGCCTCACCACCCTCCCCATCACTGAACAAAACTGGTGGTAACTTGGATCCCTAGAGCAGATGCTGAATCAATACTTTTAAGTATAGCCATGTCCAAAGTAGATTGTGCTAGAAAATATTGATATTCAATATTTGAACTTGAGGCAAAATAGCTATGATTTAGGTGTGGAAACGTTTATAGAACGAGATAGAGTTTACTATAATAGAAATGAAGGAATTGTATGCAATCAGTTGGAACATTAGTATCCCAAACAGAGTGGATGATTTGAGCCAATTTGTAGAACTGGTAGGAAAAGAAAACAGTATACAGACACCTAACAAGAATTAGATTGCCTGTATTTTTAGTTCAAAAATGAAGTCCAAGGTACAGTTTTATACTGATGCATTTTCTTATCTACTGTTTTAGAAATAATACACTCTGTTTCTGTTTTGTTGGTAGTTATCCTATAAACTATGATGTTAAAATTATAACATATCAAAACCTTAGTTTTTCGAAATCTTTATCCTTATCCTGAGCAATGCAGGAACATATGAACATCGTAATTCAAATGATAACCCTGATGACATATGCTATTTTTCAGTATTTTTTTCTTTCTCTCTCTTTTTTCTCCTTAGATCTCTCTCTTTTTAACTGCTTAGCTGCATGTCTCTTAACTGCTTTAATCACTTTCATTTCTTTGTCTGTCTGTGTTGCATTCAGTTCTGTCTTTTGCTTCACTAAGTCTTCAGTGTAGTCTACTGTGTTGTTCAAACTGTCCATTGAGTTTTTAGAATCCTTGCTTTATGTGGGAGTATTTGATCTGACTTTTCAACATATACAGGTCTTCTGCTTTGTATCCTATCCCTTTGTAGTATTTAAAGCCTGGGTCACAAAGGATCAGTAGATGCTTCATGAAAGCTGCCATCTTCAACACTGAGTCACCTCTTTGGATTCCTGTAATCTGTCTTTTTTGACATCTTGCTTTTTTGTTTGTTTTTGTTTTTTATTTTCTTGCAAACCAGCTATGCATTAAAAGTACTAAAAAATATTTATCCAGCATTTTAGGCGTTCTGTAGTAATAAGGGTCCCATGATATTTCTTTCACAATAAAACTGGAAATAGAAGTCTCTGTCCACATTTAGTGAGATGAAATTTATTAAATAAAGTCTTATGCAAACTACCATAGGACTATGTTTTTGTTGATATTAGTCTCAGTGTGAATTAGCAGTATGATGCAGTTACTGAAAAAACCCAACTAGTCAAAGCTAGTGTAATTTTAGGTTACATTAATAGAAATATAGAATCTACTATGAGGGAGGTAGTAGTCCTACCATATTTTAATTGATTAGACCTCACCTATGGGTGCCACACTCTAAGAAAGACATTAAGAGCTTGAGAAATGTCTGGAGGAAAAGAGGAGCTAGGGGAAAGTCAGGGAAGACATGACAGTTGCCTGTACATATTTGAAGGGGTCTCTGGGTCTACAGTTTTTATATGTATCCCAGGTTACAGAATGTGGACCAATAGTAGAACTTACAGAGAGGTAGATTTGGATTTAATATTAAGAAGTTTCCAACCAGGAGAGCTTTTTGGAAGTGTAATAGTCTGATTTTGAAAGGCATTTTTTTTTTCATCAAAGCCATTTAAACTGATGATGAGTGGCTACTCATTAGGGATATTGTAGAGAGAATTTAAGGATCGGAAGGGTTGGTGGAATCTTTGAGGTTCCTTTCCATTCTGCAGTTTTGAAGGTCGCCGATTGATCCATCAGGGATGAAAAATTATACATTGAAAAAAAGCCCCTAATTTCTGTTCCTGACTCTGCCATTGGCTTGCTGTGAGTTTTAGGCTGGTCATTCATCCTACCCAATCCCTGGTTTTCTTATGTATCAAAATGGAGGGACTTAGATGAGCTCAAGTGTTTCTTCCATGGAGCAATGATTACTGACTGTAGTGTTCTAGTAGTGATATTCTGCTTCCCTCATTCCTTCTACATTTTTAATTGGAATTCTGTAAGGAACTGTTGTCACTTCTCTCTCATTTATTTATTCAATCATTTGTTTATATCAGTATGGACTCATGGTTATTTTATTCTTTGGGTTATAATCCAATATTTGTTTTGTTACTTGTTTTATTTCAGCTTTGGCCACTGGAAGACCTGGATTTTAATGTTACAGAGTACAAAATGTTTGTTGAATATAGTTTCAGATTCCACATAGCAACTAACTTTTAAGAAATTAACAGTTGTTGAGTTAAAAACAAATATCCACAATTATCTGAAAAGGCTATTAATATATTTCTCTCTGTTAATAAGCTAGATATTAAAGAATTTGCAAAAATATAAACAATGTCACTCTTCCTACTAGTTTTTATCTTAATGGAATATATTGTTTATTTTTGTATGTAATGCTGATTATTGTTATTTTTAAATGAATTAATATTTTTAAAATTTCTCTCTTAATGTTTTGTTTGGTAAGTATTTATAGGTATAACCCATATAAACCATAATTCTTTGGGTTCCTCAATGATTTTTAGGAGTTTAAAGGGGCTCTAAGACCAAAAAGTTTGAGAACCATCATTCTAGGCTATTTTTAGATGATACTTATAACACATTTAACTATTTTTTATTCACTTTGATGGTTTCCTGTGGAATAATTTTTTACCTTTCCCTGGACACGTCACTGTGTGTTCAAAGGAATGTACAAATGCACAGTAATTTTAATATTAGCTATGTCTTAAGTCCACCCAATTTGTTCCAAAGTCAAATACCATGTAAAGGGTCATCATCAAAAGTTGCCTTTGGCACAGTGTCTGGCACATGGTGGGCAATCAATAAATATTTGTTGATCGAATGAATAGATGTTGACGTTTATTGTTCTCTTTTCTAAAAATCCAGATTAGCAATGAAATTGAGAATGTGATAGAAGAACCCACAAAGCCAGCATCTGAACAGATTGCAGAATTCAGTATCCACCTTTTGGGGAAACAATACACGGAAGCACTACAGGATCCTTCCAGCTTTCACCATCAGTACCTTGTGGAAGAGTTTATTTCAGAGGTGTGTGTTTTTGTTTTTGTTTTTTGATAAACAAGACAGTTTGCTGGGACGTAAGTTTCCATATTCACAGCACTAAACTGTTTAAAGATAGGCTTAGAATTCAAGCTGTTCATCTACTTGGTTCCTGGGTTGGTGACTTAGCCATTTCTTCAGAAAGCTCTGAAAAGTTCACAGGAGGACAGATGAGTTCTTTCACAGAAACACAATTTTGCCATCTGCTAACAAATATTTCCAACTTTAGCTTCACAGCCAAGGACGAATGTGTTCTGTGGCATGGTTTTGGCTTGACAATATTGGAGTAATGAGGTTTTGACTTGACAAAGTTTGGAGAAATGAACATTTTTGAGAAAGTACATATAGTATACTATTTTTCTTGATGAAGCATTATATTTAATTTTTAAAAATTTTACCTTTAGGGGCCAACCCCGTGGCTCACTCGGGAGAGTGTGGCGCTGGGAGCGTAGCGGTGCTGCCGCCGCGGGTTCAGATCCTATATAGGGATGGCCGGTGCAGTTCACTGGCTGAGCGTGGTGCGGGCAACACCAAGCCAAGGGTTGCAATCCCCTTACTGGTCACAAAAAAGGACAAAACAAAACAAAAAAAATTTTACCTTTAGTATCCTTTTTTAAATTGAAAAATTTTGAATAGTTAACATGTAGGTATATACATGGTACAAAGATTAGAAGCACAAAAGGCATTCAACCAGAAATAAATTTCCTTCCTATCTCTGTTCCTTGGTTGGAAGTATTTTTAGAAAAGGATTTCTTGAAAGAACTGGATTAGCCATAACTTTACTTTCTGGAAGAATTCTATACAGGACTGAACTCAAGATTCTTTTGTCAAAAATAACCCATACTTTGCCCCCTTCTAGTGTACCTTTGCTCGTGTGTAGTAAGGCATTGAATGCCCATCTACCCCGCATCTGTTGACAGGGCTCACTATTCGTTCCTGTTTATTTCTTTTCCACTCCCTCTCGCTGGTGTTCTCCTTTGCCAAGTTTGTCAATTCCATTACCTTGAATTAATTCCCTTCCCCAGACACTGTATTCAGATGGGAAATAAAAATGTGTATCTCTCAGCCAAGCAGCATCATTGCAGCCGTTCAGACATGTGGAGTGTATGCCAGACAATTCATTTTCCTAGTCGTGTGGCCAAGTTACAAGGCTATATGGTATGTGGAAGAAATGTCAGCCAGGCCAGTGGCTACCTGGCATCAGATAGTGTCTTGGACTAGCTGTCTGGTTCTCTCTGCCCTTGGATTAAGGAACCTTTAATAAGCCTTAGTGTTTGGGTAAACAATTGTACGGAACGACTGCAGATTTAGGGAAAGACTAATAAATACTCTGAAAAACATCTCCAGCAGGGACTTTATGAGGTAGGTAGCTATTGGCTTGAGGTGATTTGAGGTTGATGAAAGGTCTGGGCCTACCATGAAATACCTTCTCCTCTGGCCTACCCTCTCTCCCCCTCCCCCCACCCCATCCCCTTCTTACCTGGAATGAAATGTCTACCAACAGCCACTTTGTGTGGAACAGAAGAGGCAGAGGTCATGGCTCTGAAGGATCCTGCCATCATGTTTACTGCAAACTGAAGGGGTCCCTCCAGCTTTCTCCCTTCACATGGACTTCCTCAGTATCATCTCCTAGGTAATATTAGAAGACACACAGGGAAAAAGAAAGCCTGTTTGGAGAGGATGAGGTTCAGGAGCTGTTACTCTTTTTTTAATGAGGAGAAGGGTAAGAAGAAGAAGGGGCTTGATAAGTTCGGGACAACATGAGGTATGACATCACAAAGGGAGAAGTAGCATGATAAGCTTGGGCGTGTCAGTATCTGAATATAGTCATACATAGTGTCATTGCAGTATCCTTGCGTAGTGCTTTACACACTACTGGCTGCTTTCTTCTGTTTGCTCACAGCAGCCATGTGGATAAGTATATCTATTTTACAGCTGAGGGTCAGGAGGCCAAATAACTTGCTTATGTTCATTTCAGTCTCTCTATGAGCAGAAAGGAAAATCAGATCTTCTCCTGCCTTTCAAAGTGCTCCTTCCTTTATATTATACAGAGCCCCCTTCATTTTAAATCAGGTGAGAAGTTATGGTGAACTTCACAGTTTTCCCAGCCCTGGTCCTAATTATAAAGCATATTTATCATGAGGCAAGGGAAAGAGGAAGAGGCGCAGTGTAAATCAGTGGGAAGAATATGGGCTTCAGTATTAGAGAGGTTTGGGGATAATGAAATTCTGATTCTGTCACTCACCAAACGTGTGATTCTGGCCAAGATAGTTGACATCTTAGTGTCTTATTTATCTTATCTATAAAATTGGGGTATTATATATCTCTTGGAAGTGTTTCAAGGATTAGAAGTGATATTACAAAGCACCAGACACATATAAGTCATTGAATAAATTGTACCTATTATTAATATTGGCATTAATAAAGTAGAATGACTTCTTGCAACTGGACCCCTGTACAATAGCTAACTGAAGGCGATGAATTAGAATATCTGTACATGTTTAGACTCAAGAGATTGCAAAATTAAGGTCTAGATAGGCTTACTACTACTAATAATGTACAGTTGGATAGCATTTTGCAGTTGATGGAGTACTTTCAGGTACATTCATTTTAATATTACAAAAACTGATGTGGTAGATGGGAAGGGCGGTATTAATTCTACAAAAGAAGGATTGTGCATGGTCATTCTGCCAGCAAAGACAGAGCTGAGACTAACCCTTAGTCTTCTGATTCTTAGTCTTGTGGATTCCACCCTGCCCCCAGCTCCATTCCACAAGAATTATAGCACTTCTTTCTTTCCTTTCAGAGAGTAAAACAAGGCAAGTTACTATAGCCAAAAAGTTTCATGGGTTTGGTATCTTTATTCTTAAGGTATGAAGATATTTAGTGAAACAAATTAAAAAAAAAAATCCCACTCTCCTGATTATAGGAGGACTTGTTAAAAGCAGAGGCCCAGAGTTGTCACCAAGGTCCATTAACTAACTTCCCTTGTTCTGATGTACATCCCATAGTGACCCATCTGGTGAGGGTGTCACCTTCTGAAATGGTATTGATTAAATGTTCAATTTTGTTAAAATTTGTATTTGTGCACAACCTGATTATTTTTAGATCTTCAGTCCAGTCTACCATTCTTTTTTTCCCTGTCCAGTCACTAAGTTCATATGGAGTTATGTGGCTGGATTTTAAATACTGAGTAGTAGTTGGGGCCGGCCCGGTGGCGCACTGCGCTAGTGCGCTGCTTGGGAAGCGTGGTGGTGCTCCCGCCGAGGGTTCGGATCCCACATACAGACTGGCTGAGTGAGGCGCGGGGGCAACACCGAGGGTTGTGATCCCGTTGCCGGTCCCGGTCCGGTACGGGGGTAACACTGAGGGTTGCGATGGACACGGAAAAAGACAAATAAATAAATAAATAAATAAATAAATAAATAAATAAATAAATACTGAGTAGTAAAACTGGCTCCTGCACATATGATGTTAATAAATTGATCTTTTGACCAGTTTAGTTAGCTGGCTGCTGTTTCATAACCTCCTTCGTGATAAGCACTCATCAAGACCTCTCTCCTGGGGCTTCTTGCTTAAAGAGTTCTTTCTAATGTTGAGTGTGTTCATGGTTCTCTTGTGTCATAGGAACAGAAAACATGACACCAGACACATTCCCACTTACAGAAACCAAACACTAGATTGTGTGCTATGGCCAGATTTCTAATCCAAATGATAACATTTAAAAATGCTATTACACGTCTATACTACCCAAAGCAATTTACAGATTCAATGCAATCCCCATCAAAATACCAATGACATTCTTCACAGAAATGGAAAAAAACAATGTCAACATTCATATAGAACAACAATAGACCCTGAATATCCAAAGCAATCCAGACCAAAAAAATAAAGCCAGAGGTATAACACTACCTCACTTCAAATTATACTACAAAGCTATAGTAACCAAAGCAGCATGGTACTGGCATAAAAATAGACACTCAGACCAGTGGAGCAAGATAGAGAACCCAGAAATCACCCTTCAGGCTTACAGCCATCTGATATTTGACAAAGGCAACAAAAACCTATTCTGGGAAAAGACTGCCTCTCCAGTAAGTGGTGCTGGGAAAATTGGATATCCATATGCAGAAGAATGAAACTAGACATGCACCTCTCACCACATACTAAAATCAACTCAAAATGGATTAAAGACTTAAATATGAGACCTGAAACTGTAAAATTACTAAGGTAAAATATAAGTGGAACACTTCAGGAACTAGGTCTGGGCATAGACTTTATGAACATGAGCCTGAAAGCACAAGAAGCAACAAAAGAAAAAATAAACAAATGGGATTATATCAAACTAAAAAGCTGCACTGCAAAGGTAACAATCAAGAGAGTGAAATTACAACCTACAGAGTGAGAGAAAATTTTTGCTAACTATGCATCCGACAAGGGATTAATATCCATAAAACACAAGGAACTCAAGCAATTACACCATAAAAAACCAAATAACCCAATTTAAAAAAATAGGCAAAGGAACTGAGTAGACATTTTTCAAAGGAAAACATACAAATGGCCAACAGGTACATGAAAAAATACTCAACATCACTAGTCATCAGGGAAATGCAAATTAAAACCACATTGAGATACCACCTCACCCTAGTTAGACTGGCTATAATCAAAAAGACGGAGAATAACAATAACAAATGCTGGCAAGGATGTGGAGAGAAGGGAACACTCCTAAACTGTTGGTGGGACTGTAAATTAGTACAACCACTATGGAAAACAGTATGGAGGTTTCTCAAACAACTACAGGTAGATCTTCCGTACAATCCAGCAATCCCAGTTCTGGGTATATACCCAAAGAAATGGAAATCATCATGTTGAAAGGATACCTGCACTCCCATGTTCATTGCAGCTCTGTTCACAATAGCCAAGATATGGAACCAACCTAAATGTCCATCGATGGACAATTGGATAAGTAAACTGTGGTATATATACACCATGGAATACTACTCTGCCATAAAACAGAATTAAATTCTCCCATTTGTAACAACGTGGATGAGTTTGGAGGAATTTAAGTTGAGTGAGATAAGCAAAGCACAGACAGATAAATACCATATGTCCTCACTCATAAGTGGGAGCTAAGAGAGAAAGAAGGAAGAAAAGAAAGACCACAGTGGTGCGTGGTGCATTGGACTTGCAGAGGGAGAGAAAATACCTAGGGATACAAAGTGGAGTTGGGGTGGGGGATGGGGGATGGGGCTGGGGAGGGAGGTCGGGGATAACTGGGGGGATAATCGGGTGGGGGACATGGGGTATAATCACAATTTGTGGTAATGCACATGCTGCAGTATGGATCTGGCCATCACATCTTAGGCATGAGTGGTGACAATTTGATTTGTATGCCATGAATATTCATAATCAATAAAAAAAAGAGAGAAAAAAATTTAAAAAATAAATTTCATTAACAACAACAAAAAATGCTATTATAGCTTCTTATTTTTTTTTTTTTTTTTGACTGGTAAGGGGATCACAGCCCTTGGCATGGTGTGGTCTGCACCACGCTCAGCCAGTGAGCGCACTGGCCATCCCTATATAGGATCCGAACCTGTGGCCTCAGCACTACCAGTGCCGCACTCTCCCGAGGGAGCCACGGGGCTGGCCCATTATGGCTTCTTTTGAAATGAATACTTTTCTTCACATTTTATCATAGAAGGGAAAAAAAACAGCACTTTGCCAATAAGCAGTATGCTTTTCATAATTTGGAAAAAAATCAAAACCTTAAAAGACAAAATGAAAAAGAAAAATGTGGCAGTTTTGTAGTAAAAACTGTTTTCTAACATTGTAACTACTATAATTTTTTTTACTTTCTGACTAATGCATATCTACGTATGTGTATAAGCCTCTAATATTTACAAACAGTGTACTTTTTATTCTACTCTTAAAAGCATTATTTTCTATGTACTTTTTCACATTTCTGCATAGTTATCTTTTTTTTTTTTTTTTTAACAGGTTGAAAGTGCATTTATTGGTTTACCAGGCTACAAGGATATTGGCGTGCTGGAATTTAGGTAAACAAATTTACTCTAAAAATGCTCATGTTTAGTAGCATTCTTTATTCCAAGTGGAATATCCTTTGTGTTTTTCATATGTGCTTTATTTAACAACAAATGATTTGAATGCTGTAAGTCAATGCTATTTCTGGTAAATTAGTATTCTTGATACTAGTTTTTCAGGTGAAAAACTGAGTTAGAAAAAGGCAAAATAAGGTATCCTAGGAGACATACTAGGTCTGTAGTTGGGCTGGGATAAGAACTTAGAAACTCATGTCTCCAGCTTACTGCTGACAAATTACACAGCTCTTATTTGACACTGATGGGAGCCTGAAGTCAGATTAAATGTGGTCCCAGCATCCTCCTAAAACTTGTCAGTGTGGTAATTTTCAAATACTGGTGAATGGTCACTCTGGAAGGGATGCATTAGTCCCCATTGCAAATGTAACAGTTCTGAGTAAATCAAAGAGACTTCTTTTTAAGCCATTTTTTTAAGACTCACAGCAAAATAATTGTGAATTTTATTCAGTGGATATTTTGAATTGGGCACTTCACATTCCTGAGCTCAATTTTCAACCCTCTCAGGAGAGATATTATTAATACTCGTTTTATAGAGGAGAGAACAAGTCTAAAGAGATGAAACTGTTAGCCCAAAGTCAAAGAGCTTATAGACTGGGGGCAGACGAGGAATTTTGAAACAAAGTGGCTGAGTTTATTGCTCTCGCTATTAACCTCCAAGCTAGACTGAGTACTGTGATTTGGGCGATAGCTATGGCCCAGCTATTGGATGCAGGAGAGCCCAGGTTGGAGGCACTGTGCAACCTGACAGCATAATTAACATAATTAACAGTGTCACCGTCTCAACTTTGGCATGTTCTTGTGAAAACTCTTGGGTTTACTAGAAATAACAGCAAGCACTTAAATAGCATTTACAGTGTGTGTGTGTATACTAATTTATTTCCAACATCAACTCTATGAAATAGTTATTATTATCCTTATTTTTTTCTGTGAGGAGGAAGCAGTGAATTTAAATAATTTGCCCAAGGGCACTCAGCTAGTTAGTGGTGCAGGCTTAGTGAAGAGAGGCCAGGCATGGTAAATTGACCTCTACCTACTCTTAACACCGTGACTAATCTCCCCAGATCAACTTTAGCAGTTTTCGTAGAATGCTGTCTCTAGTCGTGCCTAAGCTCAAATGAGAACCTCAGAATGTGAGGCCTTTGAAGACCTCTCTCACTCAGCAGCATGTGAAAGGCAACACGGCCTTTGGAGCAACTTTCCTGGCTTCAGATCCTGCCCTTGCACTTCTGGCTGAATGGCTTTGGGTATATTACCAGGTCTTAACTTCTCAAGACAGTTTACCTACTAATCCTACTTTATTAAGATATACTTTTGAAATACTTTGGGCAAATTATTTAGCTTCTTGTTCCTTAGTTTCTTTACCTGTAATATGGGTATACTAATGAATGAATTAATTTTGTAAAATGCTTAGCACAGTGCCTGGCACGTGGGAAGTTCTATGTAAGCATCTGCTACATAGAATAAATAAATGTTAAAGGCTGTGCAATATCCTTTAGTCAGTCCCGACACTTACCCTTAGCACCTTCCTGTGTGCCGTCTGATTTTTTTTCCCCTTCTAAATGTATTTTATTATTATTTTTGTTGTAACAGTTGAATGTATGTATCTGTGGGGTACAGAGTTGAATATCAATACCTATGTGCAATATGTGATGCTGAAATCAGGATAATTAGTATACACAACATGATGCAATGTACTTGTTTATTGTGGCCCTTAAAGAAAGTTCCCAATTTTGTTAATGCCAACAGCTGAAGTCTTCTGCTGATCTACAGATTTTTATTAAGAGATAGCCTTATGTGAATTGTTTAAAAAGTATTTTTAAATAACGTTTAAAACAGAGTCAGGACCATTGGTTTTATAATAGAAGACTTTCTCCAGCTTTGCTCACTTCCTTCAATCTATAGGAATTTGTCAGTATTTGATAATATGCAAGCATTTGCATTTAAAGGAGGAATTTCAAAGAAAATCAGAGGAAATATATAAAGAGCTAGCACTTTGATGACTGATGTGATGATAATAATGGTCCCAAACTCTGTTTAACACTTTCAATTTTTATTTTCAGGTCCCCCAAGGAAAATGGCAGGTAGAGTATTTTTTGGCACTTTCTATACTGTCTGTTGAATCAGGAGGTAGTTTAGAAAATATGGCAGCCCTAGGTCTAGGGGAGCAGGACTCCATTCTTCTATCATTTCCAATATCACTGTCCTTCTCCTTATAGATCAGAGGTTGGCAGACTTTTTTTTTATTAAGGATCAGGTAGTAAGTAATTTAAACTTTGTAGGGCCATAAGGGCTCTGTTGCAACTACTCATCTTTGTCACTATCAGGTGAAAGTAGACATAAGCAATACATTATAAATTAACGAGCCTTGCTGTGTTTCAATAAAACTTTATTTATGGACACTGAAAACTGAATTTCATATAATTTTTACATGTTACAAAGTATTGTTCTTCTTTTGATGTTTTTCAACCATTTAAAAAATTAAAATTCATTAACTTATGGATAGTGGGCTGAGTTTAGATCACAGGCTATAGTTTACAATGCTGTTAAAGACTAATGACTGACAAGTACTTTTAAATATTGTATTACACTTAATTTAAAATAGGAATAATAAGTTGCATTAATGTAAATACTTTCAAGTATACTATGTCATTCAATAATATAATCAAGTGCCACTTTAAGTGGTAAAGAGGAGAAAACTGATCTCTACAATAGTTCATTTGCAAAAACAGCTGCTCCCCAGAATTTCTTAGGTAAAGCATAATATAAAAGCATAGTCAATACCTTTTGTGAAGGTTGTCATATTGCCTTTGGATTCCCAGTGTATTTAAAATACACTTTTTTCTTGGAAGATTGATAGTCATAATATGGAATTTATGAAGCAAATTCATAGGCTAACTATGGACATGTTTAAAGGTACAGTAATATTCCTTTATTGTAACATCTTATATTTTGAGAAGGGCTTTCTGACTTTCTCATTTTTATTTACATAATTTTAACAAGTATTTATTAATTGTCTAATAAATGGGAAAATCCTGTGCACATAAAAATGAATAACTTGGTCTCCACCCTCTAGGAACAGTGTAATGAAAAGTGATGGTTGTTTTTATTTAACTTTACATTCTTAGTATCCCTGTGAGATAGTAAAAATGAGAATTAATACTCATTTTCCTATTAACAACTATGTTGATTAACTGGAAAACTCTGCTTCTTGGTCATGGCAGGTAATAAAAAGTTTACTTCCCATAAATTCATTTTGTACCTTTCTCTTACATCTTTGGAGATATATTTTCTTGTAATTGTGCTTTATTTAATATGTGTTTTGCACATTGGGTCCAGAATATCACCAGCACTTCATTACAAAATAATAAAAAGCTACAAATAGATTAAGACTCCTAAACCCTTAGAAGATTTAGAACACATCATGAGGGCCCCATTTATGTTTTGAAGTTGCTTACCAGCAGTTGACCAGAAGCAAGTAGAATGGTATAACACTGCAGTCTCACCATTGAACATGATCTGTCACTATTTGGAATTCATTGTGATTTGAATTCTATACATGGGTTTATAAAAAAAGAATTCACTTTCCTCTTGGAGGTGAGGAAATTCTGCCTTAGAGAGGCAAATTGATTTGCTGTAGTTATAAGATTAGGAAGTATCAGATATTTTAAGCAAGGTCATCAGAATTTGGGTTTCTGTACTTATAGTATACGTAAACTGCTCTGTGTATATGTTTTATAGGTATATGTGTTGATGGTCTGTACTCAACCAAAAGGCCTGATTATTGAATTGCTGCCCTCTGGGGTGATTAGAATGTTAAAGCAACCCACACTTTGATGTTAGTCCTGTGATCAAAAGAATGGTATATTTTCTGAGTGCTAACAGTCCTCTCTACAGGGACAGAGATAAAAATTCAACATGAAGTCATTAGATTTTATGATAGAATTGTTAACCTAGGTTCAGTTTTCAAAATTGTTCAGTATTTTCAAGTATTAGTCTGGTAATGAAATTTATTTGTAACTTTTTGGTATGCTTGTATTCTGAGCTGTGTATGAATGAATGTGTGGCACAGAAATCGTCTATTTATAGAATATATAACCTCTCTCTCACCCCACCCGCCTTCCCCATAAGCATTTATACGCACATGAAATGTTTTGTTTTCTCTGTACCTCTTTCAAGATGCATGCATTATGTTAAGTTAGTAGGACCCATTTGAAGTGAATCAACAATATATCCATCTGGTACTCCTCATTCATAAATTCACTTCCAGGCTTTGTAAGTTTACACCTGTTTCTAGAAGAAGTGTTATAGAAGAAGGGATGTCTGAGTTTCTCTGAAATTAGAGAACAGAAGTGATATAGAAGAAGGATGTCTGAGTTTCTCTAAAATATCCTTATTTTGACTGTTCTTGATGAAATGTGATACCTCCATTTTTTCTTTTTAAAATCAGCAGATGTCAAACAGCCAGTCAGGGCATTTGAGATGAGAGAATGAGAAGGGGTGAACTTCACCTCCACATGATTGATGTCTCTGGAAATAGCTGTTGGACACAGAAACTCTCATCTGTCTAGCAGCTACGTCATTCCAGTTCAGAAGATGACAGATGATGATACAGTGGTGGTTGATTAGCTCAGAGCTGCTTAGTGTGGAGAACCAGCACGTCTTTCCTCAATCTGACACTGTTTTGTCTGCCAGTGTGTATTCTGCTTCTTATGTACTTCCTTGGCCTCTTGACTTCCTTTTATTCTGTCCTGCATCCCGAGACATCGTTGAACTTCATTTGCCATGCCAGTATTCAGTTTGTTCTGGGTTACAGTGAAGTTCTTGGCCCTGAGAATAGATGATCTCCTGGTACCTCAAGCATTTCTTTGAGTTTTTTTTCCAGGGCAAAAACATGCTTATTAATTGCAATATCTCTCTGAGGCATTTTATCTGCTTTAATGAATTTATCCTCACTAGACAAGGTAGATTATAACAGAAGTGTTCTTTTTAGATGTCCAACAGAAATATTTTGCCAGTAAAGAGTAAGGCCAGAAATCTAATCCAGACTACCTGATTTGCATAGTTTCTTGATCTGGGAACGTTTCTGTTGATCTTCTCCCTATAATATTTGAAAGTCATGCAAGGCACCTGGTAGGCTCCCAGTAACTGCTTGACTTTCCTTGTCTGATTTTCTGCTTAGCCCAGAAACCAACTCAAGTGTTAACTAGCACGCCTTTTCTTCTTTTTTTTCTTATCACTGTTTCCTGTCTTAGCGTCATGTTAACACTAGAAGTAAGTTTAATAGGTTGTACAGAAATCCCCAGGAGAAGCCCACCTTTCTGTAGATGTAGGTATGGTATATCTCATTGAGCTTGGAAAGAGTTTATACATCTTCACAAAGCTGGGATGTGGCCATGAAACAATGTCTCTAAAATGATTACTCAGAAGATACAAATGCATGAAGATAATATGTATGCTCTTTAGGGTTAAAATTTGCTCTTTTATATTTAGAGACTGAAAATGCTTCAGATTAAGTCAGGAGTATCACATACTGTCATTTAAGTGGCACACATTCAATTGTCTTATTTGTCTGCATTAGCGAACAAAATGGACCTTTTTTTTTTTCATTATTTTCAAAAGTATTTATTGAACTACTATGAGCTAGGCATTGTGAAAGATGCTTGGGACACAAAGCTGAATAATAATTTTGCCTATACAGTTGGTGGAGGAGATAGAACATGAGCACCAACAATGTCTTCAGTGTTAAAAAGAGGTTTCCCCAGGGAGGTGACATCTGAGCTGAGGCAAAAAAGAAATAGCCAGGTAAAGAAGGTGTGTGTATGTGTATATGTGGAGGATGCATGGGATGGGAGGTGGCAACAGGAATTGCAGAGAGAAGGAAATGTACATGCAAAGATCTATAGACAGAGTAAGTGCATGGTGCCTGTGGTCTGCCAGTATGTCACAAAAACTGAAGGCTCATACAGAGCAAGGGAAATATGGTGTGGTGATGAGTTTTGACCAGTAGGTGTCCCTCTTACTGTTTTATTCCAACTTGGAACTGTCTCGGTTATTTAAGCATATTTTACTGAATTTATTTCTTTATAAAGATCAGGAATTACCCATGAATCAACTTATTCTGATAAAAATTAAAAGACTTTAATTTCTTAAGGGGTTAAGAGAAATTATAGAATTTAGAAAGTCTAGAATTTAGAGCATCAGTGTGTCAAAGTACTCAGCTACCATTTTTTAAGAACCCTAAACCACCCCATTAGAAGAGGCAGTTTATCAGATCTAGGAGGAAAACAGTACTGAAGTTACTCAGTGAGACAGGAACATCAGAGGGTTCTGACTGCTTGTATGGCAGGTGAGGATGTCACTTTTATGCCACCCCTTGCAGTCCAGGGTGTTTTTCTATACCATGCAGGCCAGGTCAGGTCCAGACCAGCCAGTGCTCCCAGGAAGCAGAGGTCTCTTAAGACATTCATGCTTACCAAACCATAAAACACAGTGATTTCTCTAGGATACCCATTGATCTATTTAAAATGGGAAATATATCTGACAGTTGATCAATTATTACATTGGCTAGATCATGCATTCTCTCCTCATAGAAAAATCTATAGGAAGTTATAAGCGAAAGTTTTCTTTGCAAGCTTGAAATCAGAAAAAGGAAGTTGAATGATCTTAATGGCCAGTATCATCAACCATGCTAGCTTGTTGTGGCCAGCTTCAATCTAGGGATCTACTTTACAAGGACCAATACACTGGTCAGAAGCTTTCCACCAACGAGTAGCATAAATTAGTTGGTTAATTCCTTTTTTTCTAGACACCATGATAGCCTCATTATGTTAATACCTTTTTTTAGATATGTAAATACCTTGATCAGGCTGAAGTTTTGTTTTGTTTTTATATATTCAGACAAGTATAAATTTCTGTTCAACAAATGAGGACTGAGTACCTCTCAGTGCCAGGTGCCAAGCTGAACATTGGTGATAGAAACTCAAGGAGAGACTGAGAGACAGTTAGAGTAAACAAAATCTTTTTACAAAACAACAAAGGCTATAACCAAGGAATATATAAGTAAGTTCAGAGGAAGAAGCACTTTATTTTTATGCTTTGATTTGAGAGTCATTTTGGTGCTGTGAAATGTCCAAAGGTGGCAAATACTTCCATTGCATGTCTGTCTGAATGGTTTATCTCTGGGAAGGTAGTGTTCTTTCCTCTGGAGAGATCTTGGTGTGGCATCCTGGGTACTGCCTATGATGGCTATGCTGCAGAGGCCTGCTGGAAGCCAGAGTGATGACTAGTACAGAGCTATCCTCATGACTTTTTCTGGTAATAGTTTAATTAAAGCTACTGAGAGTGTAGCATAGTAGTTCAGAATGCTGGTGCTGGAGTCTGGCAGATCTGTGTTTAAATCCTGACTCTACTACATATATGTTACAAAATTTTAAATAGTCTTTTCATTTCTTTATGCTTGATTTCCTCAATAATATTCTGAAGATAATACCTTTTTCATCAGGACATTATGAAAATTAAATGAGGTAAAGCATGTAAATGCCTGTTACTTTATAAGCACTTACAAAATGTTAGCTTTTAATTGTTAGAGAAATCTGATATAATCGGAAATCTATAGTCTGATGTTATTTCTCCAAATGACTATTTAGGAAAATGTTAAATAACATGTCAACTCCTACTTATTTTTTTTTCTCTCTTTCTATCCTTTATTCCCAGAAGTCATCTCTTTGTTTGCTGATGGAAAAGTGTACAGTGAAAAAGCCTGATTCCCAGACGAGTTATTTGTTAGCACTTGTTAAGCCTTTGTTTAACTCATTAATGAGGGAGTCACCAAAAAAAAAAAAAAAAAAAGAGCTAGTTTCCAGAGCATTCGAAAAACAGAAATTTATACAGTTGATTGGGAAAGGATTACTACGTTAGATATAAAATTGGTTGATGCCCTGGAGGGAAGTAAAATCATAAACTTTGGAGCTATCTTTCCTACCAGGCCAAAAAAAAAATCACATCATAATAGGTTTTTATAATTTAGTCTTAAACTTTATAGAACAGTTAACTGTCATATTAGAAAATACTCTAGCATGATATATTTTAGAAAATAAAAAACTATCAATTTGCTTTATTTCTAAGTTTTTTATAGTTTTTCTTCCACAATAAATAACTGTGTTTTAGTACATAATTCATCCAACAACAATAATAAAGAAATATGAGTGGATTTCCTATTGTTGGGAGAAGTTAGAAAGACTTTTTATTTTTTTAAACAGGGAGGAGAAATGCTAATAAGGAAAGAAGGAAGCAGGCTGATAGTGAAGAGAGAGGAGTTGGCTTTGAAGGAGGAAAGAGAATGTGGGGGAGGATGTTCAGATAATTCTGCAGGGTTGCCTCTGAGGCCCCCTTACAACACTTTCCCCATTCTTAGAGCTGTGACCTTCTGTTCTCCGGGAAGGAAGAGGGGATGGCCAAAGGTTGCCCAGAGTCTGCAGAGCATGGCGATGGAATCCGTTCTCTCTGAGATTCCCCATCTGGGTCTAATGTTTGTTCTCATGGATTAGACATTCCTTTCTTTGTCTTTCCTTAGCTGGACCTAATCTCTTCTCTCTTTTCAAATGTAGTGGTATAGATGTTCGCTATGCAGTTACCTTCAATGGCGAGGTCATCAGCAATACCACCTGGGACCTAATCAGCCTTCACTCCAACAAGGTGGAAAACCATGGCCTTGTGGAATTGGATGATAAGCCCACTGCTGTTTATACAATTAGTAACTTCAGAGATTATATTGCTGAGATACTACACCAGAACTTTTTGTTGGGGAACTCCTCCTTGAATCCAGATCCTGATTCCCTCCAACTTATCAACGGTGAGTTTGATATCCATTATGAAGTCCTTGTATAGTTTTAGTTTCTTTTATGATATGATCTGGTAAAAACTAATTTCTCTAAATATATGTGGTTCTGAGCATTCTCTAGAATGCATGAAACAGGAGCCATCCTGATAGGAATGGAGCATTAGCCGTGCAGCTGTTCTGGAAAGATTAATAAGGGGCTCTCTGGAATATTTGTAGACAAAAGGCCACAGAAGGGCAAGTGGAGAATAGCATGACATTTATGAATAGTTTAGAGAAATGGGAGCAAAGTAGGAGAAAAAGAAAAGTAGTATGAGTTGAAATGGGCTGTAGTCTGCCCAGGCAGCCAAGACATGAACTCTCCAGAGGTAAGTCATCTGGTAAAGTCTTAAAAGTCAGAGAGCGGAAGAGAAGGAGCAGCTCAGGAAACTTAATGGAAGATCTTGGTCAAAGCAGAACTGATAATGGGTGCTGTGTAGAATCCCAGATAATCCAGTAAAAGTTTGAATTCAGATAGCTGTGGAGATCCAGTTATGATCTATAATGAACAGGGAGATCCAGGATCATAAAGGAGAGAATACTTTGGATTTGGAGGCTAAAGGGTGGCCCAGTCAATTGGGACTGAAGCTTGCTGAGAGTCAGGCTACTAGCATATAATATGTTAACTCATCAGAGACATGATGTCTTATTAACTTCCTTGCTACTTCATGTTTGCTTCTCCATGATTTCTTCACTCCTTGGTAGTTTAGCCTTTAGAATGTCCAGTGGAGTATATTTTACTGAAGTGACAGCATGGCAGAAGTACCAGCTGCCAAAGAAGAAAATCCGTGTGTTAGGGCAATACTAGCAGTGACGCATTTTTACAGTCTCTACATCTCCCACACATTTTTAAAAGAGAGTATCCTTTCAGGCAGCTATCACCCAGGACTCGTACGTGCGTGTAAATAAACAAAAATACATACTAGGGAAGCCAGAGAGGCTTGTTGGATTTACATAGGAAGAACAGAAAATTATTAGTGGAAGAGAAATTCTTGTCTTTCCAGGCAGTTGTGTGAGTGTGTGCATGTGTGTGCATGTGCATGTGAGAGAGACAAAGAGAAAATTTTTAATAAAATTTTACTGTTTGTAATATAATCCCTTAATGATAATTAGGATTTTTTTTTTTTTTTTGAGAGTCTGGGCTAAAACTTTAAATTGCTTTTCAACTATTTTGGCTGCTGGACTGATATTTCTTTAATGTGACACTGTGCTGAGACAGGGCCACAAAGTGACCTGATCTTTATATAAGTTATACAGGACTTTAAGATGGAGAAACTCTCTCCTTAATGGATGATAGAGCTATGAAGCTATCAGTTTTAAAACATTAGGGAGTCTTTGTATTTTGGAGCAGGATGGGTACCCTGGGCTCACTTCTTCATATGCTCCTTTTTCATTGTTGAATCTTGTTGGAATACAGAGAAGAAGCTTGTTGTAATCTGAAACTGCTGACATCCTTTCAGCAAGGCTAATAGAGACTAGCTGGGGGCAAACCATGGGGACAGCATATGGACAGAAGTTCCCAGGAATCTGGATATTGGGATCAAACAGAGAAAATATATAGTTAGAAAGTCATTACCTAAGGGAGATTGGAACCTAAATAGAGCAGCAGGTGCAAACCCCCAGGTCAGTAACCAGGGTGGTGGGAGAATGGCGTGAGGAACAGGCAAAGTAAGGTCGTGTAGGAAACGAAATCCGCAAACGGCATTGCAAGATCTTCCTTTTATGTGGAGCCTGTAGGTGGAGCTACCTCCTAAAAGGTGTGCTAAAGCAGAGGTCAACAACTCTCTTAAAATTTGTAAGCAAGTTCAACAAAAGCTGTAGGCTATCCAGCACCAACTAATTCCGGTGCCTTGGCCTTTCATTAGATGTATGTTTCAGTTACTCAGAATTTTGTTCCTAAAATCCATTTCTGTTGTCATGCCAGCTTCAGAGTTCTAAATGACTGTAGCTTTCTAGGTAATTTAATCTTCATCTCAAAATAAATGATTATTCTTGATCCATGGAACTTATTATCCATAGAAGATAAGAGAATTGTATACACAGTTGAAGAGAATTTTGGAAAACACTTGAACCAAATAGGGTTGTCAACTTCTGCTTGCTCCGTCTTTGTCAGGCCACTAGGAACAGGTGAATGAAGAGACTGCTTCTATTTTTTGTTACATACACCAGGTCACCCTCCTGGCAATCCCTTCTCTTTAGCTTTTACTGATCCCCTCTCCCCTCCAGGCAGAATCGGTTGTTTCTTTGTCTATGTTTCCATGCTTTGTATATATTCCCCTCGCATCATTTTGTAATTCATAATTTGTGTTTATGTTTCTGACACAGGCAATGCTTCCAGAAGAGAAACTTGACTTTATTAAGTTTATAGCCTTAAATTTGGCAAAGTCTGTGGTAACTAGCAAGGATTCAGTAAATCTTTGTTGGATTAAATTATACAATCTACTGTCTTTTCTTCACTGCCCTTTAATATTGTTGTAACGATAAAGCTTTTCGGTGTCCTAGACCATTTTTCAAAGCAGAAAGTGCATTTCATACTTTTTTCATACTTTTGTGCCATTTTTAGCATATCAACCAAATGAGTTGAAATTTTAGTTCAACTTTCTTAGAATTAAAAAAAAATCAATTTGAAAATAAAAATACTGCTTCATTGGAATCTAGAAAAGAATAAAAACTGACTTGAGAAAGGAAAGGAAATGAGATAGGAGTGACCTAAATGTAATAATGGGGAGAATCCTTATTTTATGTTGGATTCTTATAATTCAAACAGAGTGAACCAATATAAGTAAAATATCTGAATTAAGTAGCAAACATTTTCTAAGCAAGTCTGCCCTGTCCGTTCTGCCAAAATATAATGAGGAAGAACTTGTCCCTGTGCCTCAAATACAGTAGTGTTTCAACTAAAAATGTTCTTTAATATTGTTCTTTCCTCAGTGAGAGGAGTTTTGCTTCCTCAAACTGAAGACCTAGTTTGGAACACCCAAAGTTCAAGTTTCCAGGCGACGCCATTGTCTATCCTGGTAAGTATGTTTCTAGAACCAGGCCTTCAAGCTTCCCTCTGTACTTTCACCTACTTACTTTGGTGTCATGAATTTCCCAAGCTGTTCCCATTTCAAGTGTTCTCTTGCATCATCCTTGGAACATTACTCATAGTTGTCAGCTCACGGGTACCAAGTGTTGGTTCAGAAACTTTAAGCCTCCCACAGTGGTTAAATGAAATCTGCATTGCCAGACTCCACATATGGTAGAATACTTATTTAGGGTTTATACTTGTTTGTTGATAATTAAGCTGGAAGTACTACTGTGTTGTTCTCTAAAAGCTACCCAGAAATAACTTTTATAGCCAAGACTATAATTGATGTACATAGGTACAGAATATGGATTTTTGTTTCAAGGAGAAAAAGTTTAGACTCTAAGTATATAGAACAGTGTGTATATGAAAGGGAGAGAAGGAAGAGTAAAAATATTGGCTAGCTGACAAATGACAGGGACTCTAAATCAGGCCTCCTTTTACTGGACTAAAAACATTCCCTTTTGCGTAGAAACAGCATGAAATGAACTTTCCTTTTTGATCCTACCACACAGCTCCATCAGGAATTCCTCTTCCCCCTCCACACCTCCACTTGCCACTTCGCTTACAGAGAAGCATCCACTGGAAAAGAAAATGGCTTTCTCAAGTGCAGTTAAAACAACAATGACAGCTGCAGCCACCACCACCACACTAGAGACTTACCTGTCTGTAACGAGGACAGGAATCTTTTATTATCTCCTAGCCACAGTAGGGGGACTCCCTTCCCATTGACATTCCTCAGTCCTTCCAGCTTCTTAAGACTTTTTTCTGTCTCATGTCAGCTGTATGAAATGCTTGTTTCTCGGCTTTAATACAGCAATAGAAATTTAGAAAGCCTACCCCCAGTTCATTTAATCCTTAATCTATGCAGCCATTTTCTTCTATTCTATTACAGAGCAACTCAATTTTGAAATGTGGAGTCACAGGAAATAATCTTTTCACTGATTTCCATGTTGAAGAAAAAAAGTTGGGGGTGGAGGTTGATTTCAGAGAGTATGCTCCTTTGGTGTTTATTTATTCATTCACTTACTCATTCATTCAAATATATTTATTTTGTGCTTTTCATGTGCCAAGTGCTGGGAAAATAAGATGAATAAGGTGTGGCCCTGCCTACAAGAAGTTTCCAGTCTGGTAGTAGTAGACAGACTTCTAAACAAATAAGGTAATGCAGATGCTATCCTAGAAGTCCAGCCAGGGTGCAGTGACAGGGAGTGGTGATGGCACTAACTAGCCTCCGCTGCTTCAAATCACGTTTGACCTGGGTCTTCTCTAACCATAGGAAGAGATCTGTGATGACATTTTAGAATCATAGTGTAAAGACAGAGATTTCTTTGTAAGCCAGAGGTTGCAAACGAGACCCCAGCTGGTTGGATCCAGCTATAGACTTTGGAGCCAAATTTTAAAAAACATTCCAATATTTAAAAATTAGGAGTTTTTTAGCATAAAAACACAGAATTCCAGCTTCTTTGTAAAGCAGGAAGATCTGTGATCATTAAGTTTACATTCCTTTGTGGCAGAAAGTGCCTAAAGCTTAGCTGTGGCTGCCTTTTAATGATGGCAAGAACTTATTAACTGAGTTTACTTGTTCATTTATGTTGCAGTGGTTCTGTTTGCATTTTGTAGCCACCATTTGCATTTAAGCCAACTCCTTATGTGTTTTGAATAATTGTGGGGTATTAATTAACAATTTAAGGAGACATTGGAATGTTAATTGGTGATTATAAGACATAAAAAAATGAGTGATTAATTAGAAATGTCTGGTTATTACTAATCCCTGCCTCCGTCCCTCCCTTCCTTCCACTGTTAGCAAGATTTTATTCTATTACAGAACTGAGTTTTTTTTTTTAAACCAGATTTGATTTTTAAAAACTATTTTAGAGTTAGGAATGTTGGGATATTGAATTTGATACCTTTCTGTCATCCTGACTTGGAAAAATCACTTGTTGCACAGTATGCTTTCTATAGCACCAGCAAGTTTTTCAATTGGCATTAGCAGAAATGAGACCGGCCAATATAATATTAAACTTGTCAATATACTACATTGAAGTAAAAGAAGAATTCATGAGTCGAATTTATTGCTATGGGAACATCTATTGATATAAAAGTAAATGAGGTGCTGTTCCTGGCATGTATGTGTTTATCTTTCAAAATGTATAAGAAAGCTTCACTGCCATGCCATTTTTTAAGGGGTTATTTATTTGGAATGGATGATCTTCCTTCTTTTTTTAAAAAGTCAAGTTGTTTAGTTTCACATTTTATGTTGCTTATTTGTGACTGACTTGACTTTTATTAAAGATATTATGTATTGTTTTAATTTTTATGAAATGAAAAGGCATTTTATTTATAGATAATGCTAAAATAATATTGTTTGAGGATTTCTTTTTCATTGAGGATTTAGCTGCTTTTCTAAATGTGTGTCAGGTCATAGCCTCTGTCTGATAAAACTCAGTTTCTTAAGCAAAAATTAAAGGGCTTAACCATCTCGCTTGGAATTTTTTTTAAAAAAGCACATTTGGAGTTTACAAGAATGTAAATATGCCTGATTCAACTGGAATTATGGGAAGTTTTAACACATCTCTAGAAGCAGTTTTAGATAATTAAGAGGAAAAAAGTGAATTCCCTGATATGGTATGATCATCATTGTTGTAACTCCTTTTTTGAAGAACAGAACTTGGTGTTGAGCAAATGGCCTTTTTACTTTCCCCTGAATATATATGTGGTTTTAGATAACCATATATATGTGGTTTAAGAAAAGGGGAAAGGAGGGAACTTTTCTTTCTATACAAACAGCCTCCATATTTCATATAACAGACATTTAAATATTGAGAAATGGCTCCCTCTCTCCCTCCCCTCTGTATTCACCTGGGTCTTGCAGATCTGTGTGATATGCTAACCCAAATTAGCATGAACTGCTAAGTCTGTTGGCTCTAGTTTCTTTTCTTGGAATCCTTCCACCATCTGCGTATATACACTTGTAGAGACTTCTGAATGAATAGCCTGTTATAGTGGAAAATCACTGGTACTAAGAACTCTAGAGACTTAGCGTCTTGTTCTGCTTTCTTCTGTATGTTTTGTGATCTTGGGCATTTCACTTCTATGAATCTCAGTTCCTTATCTTTAATAGGCAAGGTTGGACTGCATAACTCTTGAAGTCCTTCCAGTTCTCAGATTTGATTCTTTATGTTCACATACACATGTGCATGTTCAGTCCCCCTTTCCAACATAAGGTTTTTATAAACCAAAGGATGGCCTTGTAAAGCACCTGAGCCTTTGGCAAGACAAAAGCTGGCATTTTTACTTTTTTTTTTCCCCCTTTCACGTTCTGAACTTCAATTTGTTGTCTTCTCATTTATCTGAAATTTAACTCTTGCTCTCTCTATCTGGTCCATTCTTGAGGACCCAGAATAACTTAGAACCTTCAGGCAAAATTACAGGACTACTTTGTGTGTCTCTTTTATGCTGAATTATGTAGGAGCACACTGCACACAGGTCAGTGATCACAAGCTGCCTACACTGTGTAGAGTTATGAAAGGTTAACTCTGCTCCTGGTGATTGCATAGTCTTAAGATACGAAAATTTACCAGAAAAGTGTAAGAAGTCTCCTTGATTATCTTTTTTGCCATGATTTATGAACCAAGTCTTGCTATCCTCAGGTTCACTTCTGATGGAGGATTACCCATGAGGGAATTTTTTATTCTGAAATCTTTCTCTTTTTCTATATCATTTGCAATTGCATCTAGTTATTTGAGAATGGACTTCAGCTTCCTCTTTCTTTACATATGTCTTGCTTTTTCTCTCATACATTTCACTTCAATAGACTCAGGTTATTAAGTTATTAGACTCCAGTCTTGATTACATTCCATTTTTGTGACCAAAGCTACATTGCCCAAAATATTTACTGATATTGCATCGTACACTTTTCACTTTCTTCTTTCCTTTCCAGATTCTTTATTTCTAATTACAATTAACCAGAATGACACCATTTTTGGTTCATGTTGTGGTTGTTTTAACCAGCATGGTAGCCCACTTAAAACAGGACCTAATTAAAACAGCATGGACAAGGCATGAAGTGATGGTGTAACTGAGTTCCACAAAAGAAAATAAGTTTACTTGACAGAGTGCTTTTAGCTTAAAAATAGGTAAAACTGAGAGGATCTCCTCATATAACCAATGACCTTTGCTTATTATCTGTCCTGTGTATTTGTCACTAGAGAAAGAGATAAATTAGGACATGCCTGGTGATTTCTTGCCTCATGGTCCCTCCCTGTGATTGGGAGAGCCTCCTCACACAGACCTTTGCTGGAGAGACAAGGAGAGATGTGTAAGCAAAGTGCAGAAGACTAATCAGGCCTTGCATCGACCTGACTCCCTCCATAGGCCAGTAGGTTCTGTTTTATTTCATGGCCACAGACTGAGCTCTAGTTAGCCACCTTCATATTGAGTGCTTTTGTTTAAAAAGCATATTAGCTTGAGACTGTATGTCCATGAAAATTCACTACCAGTGATAGGCATCTCCTGGAGGTGGGGGAAAGTGGTTAGATTCAGTTTCATATTCTTAGTATTTGTGGGCTTTACTTTGTTCATAGCTATTGCTTGAATTCTAGTCTTTTGGTAGGTTTATAAATGTGGGAAATTTCTTAATGTTTCCAGTTGGTAAGAAACATCACCATTCAGCAACCAAAGAAGTGTATTAGAAACCCAGGCTGGAATAGTATCGAACCAGAACATGATCAGGCTGTATCCTCTACTGGGAAGCTTTTAAAAGTACCAGTGTCTAGGTCCCACTCCCAGACCATTTAAGTCGAATCTCTGGGTATGGGGCCTGGGCATTGGTGTTTTTAAAAAGCTTCCATGTGATTCTCATACAATGCAGTGTTGAAAATGATTGCTCTTTTCTATTTTCCTTTCTCAGTTTTCATACAACCAGGTAACACTGTATGAGTTCCTTCTATGTGCGTGACACTTAATCTTCGTTATTCGTAACCCAGCACAGATTGAAATATGTGAATTCCTGTCAAATTCCATGGCCATTTTACCTATTAGCATCATCATTAAACTATTCTTCATAAGATTAAATAATTAGCATGTTCAAGGATTGTGTTTCTATCTACTTTTCTATTCCTGAAACTGAATTTTAAGATAGGGTTAATACTACATTAGTAAAAACTCACTATAAAAAGAAAGTTGTTCGTATTTTGTAAGTGGTGATGCCATTTTACAGGTGTGGCTATTCATTTGTGGTAACCAGACCACATTTTGATGTGGTAACATTTCTGATCAAAATGGAAGACCTTAATTAATTAAATATCTTTCAGAATGATAAATAAAATTGCGAATTGTTCTTTCCTGCTGTGGGCAATGTGCTTAGGTCTTTGCCAACAAATTACAGATATTAGTAACTTCTAGGTATTTAAAGTCATTTATGCTAAAGAGACAGTGGGAAATGAACCAACTAGAACTAGAGAAATGATATTTTCTCCCACAAATTCACTTGTTTAGGGTTTTATAAATGTTATCTCATCTGTCTCCACTTTACAGGCGAATTTCAAGAGATTACAGAGTTTTTCTCTAGATTCTCCAACTAGTAGGTGGCTGAATTGGGATTTGACTACAGGTCTATTTGATTCTAGAGCATCCACCCAATATTGCATAGCCTCTGTATCCCTAGAAAATCTAGGAATGTAAATAGATTGGTGGCATTTAAAATCATTTTTATGTGTTTCTTTTATCTATGATATGATTTTAGCCTTTTTTTTCCACCCTGCAGGATAATACCCTTCAGGCTGAATGGCCTTCAGCAGATGAATCCACCACCAGCAGTATTTCACCACTTGATTTCAGCTCTGGTTCTCCCTCAACCACTGGCAGGAAAGCCTGGTCAGAAAGTCCTTTGGGTGATTTAGTATCTACCCCCAAATTGGCCTTTCCCTCGAAGGTGGACCTCAGTTCTTCCCCCAAAGTTTCAGAGCTTATCCACTTGACTCTTCATTCTGTCACCCCAGCAGTGCTTCAGACTGGCTTACCTGTGGATTCGGAGGAAGGGACTTCTGGATCTCACTTAGAAGATGGTGAGGAACTATAATCACTTTTCCTACTTCTTTATGGTATTAGATGACAAGGACTTTGAAGAGAGGAAGAGACTACAGTTAAGAGAAAAACATGAAAACATGGTAGCATTCATTAGGGGGAAATGTCTTGGGAAACTTGTGTGAAAGAGGAAACAATTTAGATCAGATTTAATTGGTTGGAATACAGAGTCCAATAGGTAATTAATAAGAAATGAATTTGGGGAAGTGGGGTGAGGATCAATTAATAGATATTTTGAAGGTCATATTGAAGAGTATATAATTTAATTAAATTACTACTATTACTATTAAAGAACTACTTTACTTGAATATTGGAGTGGTAAACAAACAACATCAAAGAATATTATTCGAAGAGTTTTTAATAGGATTAATTGTGGGGGCCAGGTCTAAAGATTTTATTTTGTAGTAGTATTGAGAAAAGGAGAACCTGAACCAGGGCAGCTACAGCAGAGATAAAGGAGCAAAAATGAAACAGATCTAGACACTGTGGAGGAAAGGAAAAAAATCAGTGTGACTTAGGGTTGGACTACACATGTGAAAGAGGAAGATGAACAAAGATATCAGTAATGAGTCCAGGACTGTGAACATTGGGTGAATGTGAATGATGATGGGCAATAGACGTAACAGGGAAAATGGGAGTTCAAAGAGAAACACAATTTCCAGGGAATTTTCTCCCTAAGTTCCCACTGGATTCAGTCTTTGTTGTCAATATGGCTACCAGCAGTTCTTTATTTTCATGGAATTAAAATAAATCAAGTGTCTGAAGATTAATAATTTCAATAGTCAAGATCTTGTCATCCTCAGAGAAGGAGGGTATATTCATGAATAGTTGCCCCACATTACAAACACATTATCACATCTTGTTTGCTAGATATAGCAAAGTAAAAGTCAGCAACTGTCCCTGTTAACGGGAAAAAACATGTAACTGGTTTTATTCGGAGAATATATTTTGGCAACTCTTTAGATTAATTAATGGAAAACTTTATTTTTAGGATTAGCCAATGTTGAAGAGTCAGAAGATTTTCTTTCTATTGATCCATTGCCTTCAAGTTCACTCACTCAACCTGTGCCAAAGGAAACCATACCATCTATGGAAGACTCTGGTGTGTCCTTGACGTCCTCACCATATCTGACCTCCTCTGTCATCTTAGATCTTCTTGATAAAGAAGTAACTCTACCTTTTGGCTTGGACTCCAAAGTCAAAGGCCAATTAGAACAGAGCACTTTGCTGCCAGATGCATCCATGGAAGAAGAATTTATATTTGAGAGCAGTTTAGGTTCAGGATCTGGGCAAAAGGAGGATATGATTACTTGGCCATGGACTGAGACTTCATTAGAGAAGATCATGGAACCACTTTCCAAGTCATGGCTTGAAGATGAGGATTCACTTTTGCCAACTGAGGATGTAGATGAGAAACTAGTTGTGGATGACAAAATGGATTCCACAGACCAAATTATTGAGCATTCAAAATATGAGCATGATGATAGATCCACAGACTTTGCAGAGGAAGAGAGCCTTCATGGACCTACCCTTGGTGGACCTACTGTGCCCATCTTTGCAGATACTGAAACTCAGTCTGCACCTCTGATCCTACCCAAGCACACATCAGAGGTACCTGACATTGACTATTACTCAGTTACCAAAGCACCTCTTCTAATGGCATCTATAGCAATCTCTGCTTCTACTGATAAACGTGATCAAATAGATGCCTTCCTAAAGGGGGATATGGAACAAACTACAGAGTCACCCCACCAGGAAGGGTTTGACAGCAAGGTTTCAGTGGTGAAGCCAGATATACAACCTTTGTGGACCATATTGCCAGAATCAGGTATAGTCTGGACAAGAACTTCTTCCCTAGGAAAATTGTCTGGAGAGACACTGGCAAGTACACCGCAGAATACTGACAGACTCTGGTTGAAAGCTTCCCTGACACAGTCTACCGAATTGCCTCCAACCACAAGCTCCACCCTGCTGGAGGATGAAGTAATTATGGGTGTACAGGATATTTCATTAGAACTGGACCGGGTAGGCACAGATTACTATCAGCCTGAGCTAATCCAAGAGCAAAATGGCAAAGTTGGTAGTTATGTGGAAATGTCTACAAATGTTCGTTCCACAGAGATGGCTATTGTGGCTCAGCCCACAAAAGGAGATGACTTGAGCTATACCCAGACTGCAGGAGCTTTGGTGGTTTTCTTTAGCCTCCGAGTGACTAACATGATGTTTTCAGAAGATCTGTTTAATAAAAACTCTTTGGAATATAAAGCCTTGGAGCAAAGATTCTTAGAATTGGTAAGCACAAAAAATAAAACATGGGGGCTAGTGAATATTTAGCTATGAACTATCCTTTTTCCCCCTCAACACACAAGGTCTGAGCCAAGGAAAGTATGATCTGCAGTGGACATTCATTTTTCTTTTCTTTTCTTTCTTTCTTTTTTTTTTTTGGTGCCTAGCTGGAATGGGGATACAAACCCTGTACATTCATTTTCTATCATCCACAAACACTTGTAGTGTCATGGCCTAGGATTGGTAGGAAAACAATAAGGCAGATACAAGAGATGGAAGACACAAAAGTGGCATGAGGATGATATGACAGGTTGGATACTGAAGATTGTATTCCATAAATTCTGAAACTGAAATAAGTTTGAGATTTCTTTTCACATTTTATTGTGAGACCAGTGTTTTGTGGGTTCCTATAATACCTTCACTGTTATGATCCTTTAGGGAAAAAGAGAGAATAAACTCACTGAGGTGTCTAAAACTGTTTATGAGTTCCTCGGGGCTTCTAAATATCACTACCAGAATCTCATGTCATTCCTACTTTATACTTTTGTTAATTAACAGTTTAAATGTAGATAGAATACAATTAGGAAAAGTGGGGGAGGGGCTCATCCTTGCCTTTTTTGTTTTATTTTGCTTTGGTATTTATTGGGTAAAGTGCAAAATCCTGTCAATAAACTTACCACTTCTTACCACTTTTCATGTATTGTAGTTGGTTCCCTATCTCCAATCAAATCTCACAGGATTCCAGAACTTAGAAATCCTGAACTTCAGAAATGGCAGTATTGTGGTGAACAGCCGAATGAAGTTTGCCAAGTCTGTCCCTCCTAATGTCAACGATGCTGTATACATGATTCTGGAAGACTTTTGCACCACTGCCTACCAAACCATGAACTTGGCTATCGATAAATACTCCCTTGATGTGGAATCAGGTAATGGTATTGCCTACCTACCACGGTGGTCTCTTAGTGGAATCCAGTGATTACTCTTGTGTGTTTTCCTCTTCATTGAGTCAATCCAGTGCTTGTAGGAAAAAAGAGTATTACGTCAGATAAATTTTCTACATCTTAGTAATTTCTAAACTATTTCTTCCAATGACATCAATATCATTCTCTTTTTAAAGCGTGGTCCACACGTTTTATCTTTACTGGCTCACTTTCCATTTCCTTTTCTACCCACTCTATCTCGCTCTCTCTTCTACTTATCCACTGAATCTAATCCTGCTATGTCTTTATGTTGTCAGGCCCAAAAGATTTGGATTCTCTTCTCTTCTCTTCTATATTATTTTTCTCAGTTTTTGTATCCATTCCCATTATTTTAAGTCATAAAGTCAGTAACTCTTCACATTTTTATATGCAGAAAAACTTCTCTTCTGAGCTCCAGAATCAACAGCTACTACTTTCCTGGGAATTTCCACTTTGATGTATTTTATGTATATCAAACTTAAGATATCTAAGAGTGAGCTCTTGTTTTCCATGTCTGTCTCCCCTCCAGCTAATTCTACTGCTTCCTTAGCTTCTCAGTCTTGATAGATGAAAGCTTTATCCACTCAGCTGCTCAAGCCAGAAACCTGCAAAGTCATTCCTCATAACTCAGTTTCCATCACTCCCAACTTTCAGCCGTTCATCAAGCTTATATTGATTCTGAATTCTAAGTGTATCTCAAATCCATGCTCTTCTCTCTATCTCCACTGCCACTACTCTGTCCAAATCACCGTCATCTCTCATTTGGACTGATTTTACCACTTCCTCTTATCCATTCTCCAGACAGCAGCCGTGTTGCTTTTTCTAAAACATCAATCAGATTACTTCACATTGCTACTTGAAACACTTCAATCGCTGCCTGCCTGGTTCAATAGCCTCACGGCCTGGTCCCTAACTTCTTTCCCAATATCACCCAACGAAACTAATCTCTTTGCTTAGCATGTTCTAGTCAAACTGCTTGTTTTTAGTTCCTCAGATACAAAAGACTTTCTTTTGCCTTAAAGCTTCTGCACACACCCCTCCCCTTTGCCTGAAATTCTTTTCCCTCTTGTCTGATTCCTGCTCACCTTGTCTGATTTCTGCTCACCTTTCATGCCTCAGTTCAAACGTCGCTTCCTCAAGACTTTCATTGATTCACCCATAATCTAGATTGGGTCTTTTCTATTAGTCTTTTCTTATAACATCCTGTCCTTTTTTTTTTTTTTTTTTTGTATTGAAACATAATTGATTATACACATTTGTGGGGTGCAATTTCTGCGTACAATATGTGATAATCAATCAGGATAATTAGTATATTTATCATTACACAATGCAATCATTCTTTGTGATGTGACCCTTAACCAATTTCTTGCTAATGCCCCCGCCCCCTCCTCTTTCTCACCTCTGGTAACCACACTTCTGTTCTCACTGGTAGAGTTTATCACCATTGTAGTAACGTTAATTTATATGCGTAGTTGTTCAAAGGCACTTTTTCTCAGTTGAGCTTTCCACAAGGATTGAGTGTGTGTCTTTTTAATTAACCACTTTCTAGCCAGAACTTAGCACAGTACCTTGAACACAGAAGGTACTCAAAAATATTGTAAATGAATGAAATGAACCATTATTTTTATTTGGTAGAATTGAATGCAGGAAATACAACTGGAGTCTGACATTTTGTTTTTCTTTACCTTCCATTTACCTTAGGATAGTGGTTTTGAATAGGAGTAAGGTAAAATGTCTGGGTTCATATTTTTCCAGTGCCTTTTATGCTCAAACTGGTTTAGAAGTCCTATTTTTTAACTGGAAAGAAGCAAACATTCTTTCGTTTGATATTCTTGGAGGACCATTATTCATTGAAAGTGAGGAAAATGATTTAGCTAATCCCCCAGTGTCCAAATCTCTTGCCACTTGAATTCTCTAAAGCAGTTTGCACATTCTTTGCCATGTAGTGTAGTGGAAGAAGCAATTAATTATAATTTGGAAGGCCTGGTTTCTTGCCTCTGCTCTATCATTTATCATTTGTGTGACCCTAGATGAGCTATTTTATCTCTGAGCTTTAGTCCCTCATATGTTAAATAGGGATAATATTGCCTGGCCTGTGTATTTTGTGGGGCTATTCTAAGGATTAAACAAATAACGTATATAAAACATTTGACTAGCCCTGCAGATGTCAGTAGTTATAATTTATAAAACTTTTGCAAAAATCAATTTATTTATTTTTAAGGAGAATTACAATAAATAAGTGCATTAACATCAACTTTGTATGTAACTCACATGTCAACTGTATGCCAAGTCACCCAGATTTATAGGGTCACCTTTTATTTTAATATTTGAATGAACTGACATTAGCCCCTCTTATGCACAGTGTAAAACCTGCATCTAGGTTCCCCCCATCCCTCAATATCTCTAGACATTGTTAGAAAACTAAAATATCTCATAATCACCTCCAGCTCTGAGCTTTTTTCTGCTGAATTTTCAGTCTCACATGTGTCTTGACCCTTGTGCTTTTTTTTAAATGTTAACCTAACACAGATCACAGTCCTGTTTTTGATTTTCCTAAAGCACTATCAGCTTAAGGCAGTTGATTCTATTAGACATTTGCTGATGGTATGAGGATAATGGGGAAGGCTTTATTGCAGCACAGCAGATGGCTTAAAATATTACTATTAGGCAGAACCATTCCTAAAATTCCTCAGCCACACTCACTCTCAAGGACATCTCTTACTGGCCAACTTTTCCCATAGGACATAGCCAGGTGCCATGTTGCTCCAGCCATGAAGCTGTATTTCCAGACCTTCTTCACATTTCCTTCACTCTCATTTTTCTGGACCCATCAATCCTTCTCTTAGGCTGCTCCTACAAAAGCAGAATGTAATTTACTCTACAGTTTAGATCCCTGTCTCCCACCCCAAACTTGGCTCCCTGTATACCTTTGCTTCCCCACAGAGTCATTAAGGTACTTTTCCAAACATAGGACCAGCTGTCTGGGCATTCACCTTTACCCAGCACAAAGGACTGGAAAGAAACATTGAAATCACTGTCTTTTATTTACACGATTAAAATAGTAAGTTTGAGGGCTGGCCCCATGGCTCACTTGGGAGAGTGTGGTGCTGATAACACCAAGTCAGGGGTTTGGATCCCTATATGGGGATGGCCAGTTGGCTCACTTGGGAGAGTGTGGTGCTGATAACACCAAGTCAGGGGTTTGGATCCCTATATGGGGATGGCCAGTTGGCTCACTTGGGAGAGCGTGGTGCTGACAACACCAAGTCAAGGGTTAAGATCTCCTTACTGGTCATCTTTTTTTAAAAAATAAGAAATAAAATAAAAAATAAATAAAATAGTAAGTTTGTTTTCTTTCATTGGTCCGAAAGCAAAGGGGAGCAACATTTATCTTTTTCCTATATCTATATCCTTTTCCTAATCTATAGAAAATATAGATTCTATTTTTTCCACCCCAGACAATCACGCACTCCCACAGAATGGTCACAAAGTTTTAAATAGAATTTTCCTACTACATGTATAATTTTAGGTAATGACCCTCATTAAATTATCACTTTATCTCAAGATTGGCTAGAGACAAAATTGGCTTGTCTCTTGCCTAACTTATTTTCACATGTACTGTCTCAGAAACTCTTGAAGTTCCATCAACAAAGGGGAACCATGCAGGACCATCCTCCCTGTCCCCTATATACCCTCCTCTCTCAGTGCTATGTCAGGCTTAGATAATTTTACGATTACAAAGCCACAGAATGAATACTAGGATAAGGATGCGAAGATTTAGGAAATACACAGTGGAATCCTGCTGTCTAGTTCTCTTGCAGAAAGTGCCCTTCTATCAGCACATTTGTATGCTCTTTGTTATATCAGCATCTTGGCAGTGGTACCCCTTCCCAGGACTGCTGTAACCACAAACTAGGTGGCTTATAACGACAGAAATTTATTCTCTCCCAGTTCTTCAGGCTAGAAGTCCAGTATCAAAGTGTTGGCAGGGCCATGCCCCTCTGAAAGCTCTAGGGAAGAATCCTTCCTTGCCTATCCCAAGCTTCTGGTGTTTGCCGGCAATCCTTAACATTCCTTGGCTTGTAGATGCATCACTCCAGTCTCTGCCTCTGTCTCTATAGAGCCTTCTTTCCTGTGTGTCTGTATCTCTGTGTCCAAATTACCCTCTTCTTATGAGGACATCAATCATTGAATTAGGGCCCATTCTAACCCATTACGGCCTCTTCTTAACTTGATTACACTGGCAAAGACTCTGCATAAAGGTCACATTCTGAGGTTTTGAGGGTAAATGAACTTTGGGGGGACACTATTCAACCCAGTACATCCCCCTATTCCCATGTGGGGCCTAGGGAGAGCAGCTTCAGAGATCTTCTAAGCAAATCCAAGAGCATAGACTTGTGCAAAATTGTCCTTAATTTTCAGAGCAGTAAGAAAATCATTGCTTTTCAAAACAATATTAATTTTTGGAAACTGGCAGACTATGATTTTTTTTTTAATCTCCCTTAGCCTTTTAGCTAAACTTTTCCATACAAATGAGTCTATGGATCATTTCCACTTATTTCCTCTTTTTTCAGTATCTCTGTCACCATTTGCCCATTTGCTGTTCACAGGTTGTCATTCACTGGGGAAGAACGTATGGGAACCATGGTAAAACAGAAGGCCTATCCATGGTCAATATCTTCTATCATTTTTGACTACTTATTGTCCTAATTAATTTTAAAAAGTTGTCATTTTCCCTCATCTCATCAGTGAAAAATGAAGTTACAAAGCCAAAATATTGTTGGGAATGGCCTGAGGAGGTGCAGGGCTGATTTATTTTGCTAACACTGGCTTCCACAGGTCTCAACTGTTCTTAGGCTGCTCTCACTGGACTGTACCCACCACTGAAATTCCTTGCAGTTCTTTCCTGGACTGTGTCTCTCCATCCTGTGTTCTTGGTGTTGTGTGGAAAATGTATCAGTGTGTGCAAAGTGGAGACAGATTACAGCAGGTTAGGGTTGGTGGAAATGAATGGTACATGAAAACTGTGTTTATAATTACATAACATGGATTTTAAAGTATCTGTGTGCTCCCTAGATAAAACATGTAAAGACTTACACAGGTCATAGGGTTTTATGATTTGGCTCTGAAATCTGACAAAATTTGAGAAATTTGACAAAAATCTCATCAATCTACGATGAACCGGAAATTGCTTGTGGTATTGGTGGTGATGCTGTACTTTAATGACTCAGGAAAGGCGTTGTCTCATGGTACTTTGTAGGGAGCTTTAATGAGGAGTTCCATGTACTGCAGTTCCTGTGCTTTGCCTTTCTTCGCATCGTTCTCTGGTCTGTTTAATGTTTTAGGTGATGAAGCCAATCCTTGCAAGTTTCAGGCCTGCAATGAATTTTCTGAGTGTCTGGTCAATCCCTGGAGTGGAGAAGCAGAGTGCAAATGCTACCCCGGGTACCTGAGTGTGGACGAACTGCCTTGTCAGAGTCTCTGTGACCTACAGCCTGACTTCTGCTTGAATGATGGAAAGTGTGATATTATGCCTGGGCACGGGGCCATTTGCAGGTATGTTGTAGTTAGGGATTTTGATTTCAAAGGCTATACACACTTCCTCTGATGAAATGGGTCTACACCTATAATTTTAGAATAATCATTGTAACATTTATGATAGAAATTATATCTTGGCAATAGATGTGTGCCATCTAATTCTCGTGTGAAGAGTGGATTATTTATTCAATTGGTTCAGTTGGTTATTTTATGCTCTTGGGGAGCTGTAAAAAAATAATTGTCTGCTTATGTCCTACTTAGAGTAGTTGGAAATCTTTGTGTCATAGTTTTTACTGGTAATGATAATGGAACTGGTGTTCAAATGAGGTTTAGGCATAAGATCAACACTTGACGCTCTATCTAAAAGTGAAAATAAAGGAGTTTTATTCTTCTATTTGGATTATATTTTTAATGGCTTTGGACTCTTCTTAGTCCTATGTGTATTCAAAAACAAAGAAAAGAAAGTATTTGAAGTTTTTGAAGTGGTGACAAATATGTTTTCCTTTAAGTAATCTGAGATCCATTTTTAAAAGGTAGAACCAGCACAAATGCTGCAGATGAGCAGATTTGGTTAGCCTGACCATCTTTCCCTTCCCTCTCCCCTTAAACAAAGCCAAACAGATCACCCTCCCAACTACACACAATGAGAGGTGCATGGTTGTCAGAGGAGAGAATGCTGAGAATAAGCAGCAGAAACATGAACAGAGGATAATGTGTGAATCTCAAAATAAGCAAATGTTGGCATAGAAGCCAAAAAACAGAGGAAATACGTGGAAATGATTCAGATACTTCTATGTGAAAAAGCATAAAGTTTAGCTAGAAAACTAAAGGGAAAAATAATCTCTCAGTGTCCAGAGAAATTAATATCATTTTGAAAAGCAGTGATTTCCTTGTTGCTGTGGGGGTTGAAGACATTTTCACACAAGTCTATGGCTTTAAGGTATAAAAGTCTCTCCAGTGTGGTGAAAGTTTATAAGGAGTCTGGAGGCCTGGGCTCTAGACCCAGCTCTGTTGCCAACTAGTTGTGTGATCTAAAACCAGTCACTTTTCCTCCTGTTTTTTGTTATCCATAAGTAAGGAGGTTCAATAGAGTAATTTCTTTAAGTCTATTCAGTCTCTTATTTGGTCATTTACAAAGTCATTGGGGATCTTACTAGGTCTGTGCCAGGCATCACACACAGCCTTAAATCATACGGTCACTTAATCCATATGTTCAACTCTTTAATGAAGCTTCATGTGGTCAGCATTTATTTCTTTACCTTTTCCCAGTCCCACTAAAGATTCTGCTGTTGAATGTAACTTTAAGCAGAGTGATTCAGATTCTGGATTTGGTGACTGTTGGTTACAGATGCCGGGTGGGTGAGAACTGGTGGTACCGGGGCGAGCACTGTGAGGAGTTTGTGTCTGAGCCCTTGGTCATAGGCATCACCATCGCCTCCGTGGTTGGACTTCTCCTCGTCTCTTCTGTGGTCATTTTCTTCCTCATCAAGACTCTTCAAGCACAGTATGTCAGGAGAGAAAGAGAGAGGCCTGTCAGGTAAATAAGGAAAAGAGCTCTCTGATGGAATAAAGTGTTCCTTTTATTCATTCATTTAGTACTTACTATGTGCCAAATATTGGAAAAGCAGCTGGATGGAGAGAGATTTAAAGGAATAAAAACATGGTCCCTGTCCTCAAAGAGGTGTCAACTTGGAAAGAAATATAAATAACATTGCAAATAAGATGAGGAGCCTAGATGAGGGCTGAATTATTTTTGCCTGGGGGAGAGATTCTTAGAAGTTTTAATGATGGTTGTGATATTAGCTGAACAGAAGAGTAAACGTTTGCTGAGAGTGGGGTGGGCGGTTTCTAGCTAGTTGAATGAGCAAGAGCAAAGTCGGGGAGTTATGTATGAACCTCAAAGCACACTGAAGGAAAGGCATCACCAAGTGTGGCCAGATGCGTGTTGCATGGTGAGGGAGGTTTTGGAGAGGGGTTAATGGAGATAGAAAAGGTGAGTTCCCCTTATGTGAGGACAAGACCTGTTACAGTTTGTTTCCCTTGGGCTCATACCGATGGTAATGAATCAGATTTTAAATCTGAGAATCTGGTTCTCTGTTTAGTTAAGTGTGGCTTCATTAATGGGAGAAATAAAACCTGGTTCACTGGCTAGACTAGGGATCCAAGAGGACTTTGGGTTGTTATGTGATCATAATCCCTGGTTGTACTTTGCTTCTGTGCTTCTAAAGTCTACAAGAGCTACTACCAGGTCTATGCTACCTTCCCTTACCCTCTGACATGGCTAAGGAGGCTTAGAGCACCCAGAATATACCTCCACCATGTCCTTGCATGTTTTATTGAATCAGACATTCAGGGCAGAGATTCCAAGTTCTTTGTATCATCATCACCTAGAACAGTCCTAGGCACATAATCAATGCTTAGTAAATATTTACAGTCATGAATTGAATTTAATTTTTGTCCAGCCCCCCGCCCCCAATATTTATATTTCTATCAGATTCTCTGTGTGGTAACACACTGATTTTTGATGTATATAACTCCGGGGATTATGGAGCCATATTTGTTTAATGAAATACCATCTATAAGCAGACATAGTTCCTAACCAACATTTATTGAGTGCCAGACACTGTGGTTAAATAAGATGAATGAGACATGAACAATTCCACAGGGCACTTGCTATGTAGTTGAGAAGATAATGATGATAACACCTCATAGGTAATCTTTGAGACTGATCTGGATATTTTTCACAGTCACCTCTCCCATTTGTGTCCAGTTCACTTTTTTTTTCTTCCCCAACAGAAATCCTGTCTCAGGTACATAGTCTTTCAAATAGTTGAGAATCCAAAGGAAAACCCGAATCAATCATACCTTTGTTTTTGTGGCTCCAGCAGTCAGGCTGATAGCCTCTCATCCATGGAGAACGCTGTGAAGTACAACCCTGTGTATGAAAGCGAGACAGCCGGCTGTGAGCATCCCTTCTACAGCTCTGCGAGCGGAGAGATGATTGGCGGCCTGAGCAAGGAAGAAATCAGACAGATGTATGAGAACAGTGGGCTTTCTAGAGAGGTACGAAACTTTTCATTTCAGTTGCTCTGCTGCTGGTGTGTGTGTGTGTGTGTGTGTGTGTGTGTGTGCGTACGTGTGCACGTACATGAGCTTCAAGAAAAAATGGATAATATTTCATGATTAGTCTTTAACCTATGATATCTCCCAGTCAATATGGTAAGCAGAGGGTATTCGATTCTGAGCTGTACCTTATTCCCCACCCTGCACTCTTTTTTTCCATTGTTAGCAAATACTCTCCCCCTACTCCCTTCCTTAGAAATATATGTCTGAGTTAGAGCAGTACATGTAATATCCAGAGCAGTATATGTAGAACCTTCCATGTCTCTGAAAGGGCAATTCTTTCTTATAGCTCTCCTCTGGTTGAAAGTTGTAAATTTATTATCAAAATTAGAATACCTTTTAAAAGGCCGTTGAGATTTTTCTAATGCAATGTGTGACCTCTTTTTTTGTTGTTGTTTAAGGAAATCCAAGAAAGAATGAGAATTTTGGAACTGTATGCCAATGATCCTGAGTTTGCAGCTTTTGTGAGAGAGCATCAGATGTAAGCATTTGAAACAGCTCTTGACCCATGGTCTTAACAGTTTGCCTTAGAATAGTGCCCCCAGCATCAGCATGTAATTCTTGTCTGTTTGAGAGGGGTCTTGGTAGTAACCAGACTGTTGAGTTCTTTAAAGTTTATACATATCCACACAGAATATCTCATTTATTCTTTATGACGGCTTTATAATTTGGGTATTTCTTATTTGAGGAAAGGAAGCCTCGGAGAGATGAAGGGATTTACTTAAGATGGCAATGATAGCAAATGGCAGAGAAGATTTAAAACTAAGATACTATCTCTCTTGGCCTAGAGATTCCCAGGCTATGTCCTATTTTCTCTCTTGTTACCATGGATTTCACTGGGGATCCAATGCTATAAAATATTTTTCATAGACAGTTTCTATAAGAAGCATCCATAGTAATAGCCACATTATTAGAATTATATAATTATAACAATAACCATAAATCCTCACATATTTCAACACGTCTTTCCGTTCTTATCTCTACAGACACTCTTTAGTATGCTTTGAATCACACATCTTATTAAAGCATATCTCTTGCCTCTTTCAAGTTTATGTTAATTTCATTCTGTCTCTTTCCATTGGCTTCTCTCAGCATGAATTTTTGGGCATGTGTCTATAATTTTTTTTCTTGGTTCCCCAGGTTCCATAACCAAACTTAGGTTACAAAAACAAACTATCTTGTAAAGTGACCATTGAGGGCATTAGTCGAGTATAGTGGGTGGGGTTACAATTTGGCATTGGTGTTGGTCCTACTGCCGCCTTCACAGAGGTACTTGCTTATGGACGGGTCCAGCCAGGTATCTGCACCTGACTTTTAGAAGAGGAAAAACCAGAGCAATTCATGCATACTTGTAAAAGAAATTGATGAAGTGTCAAGATAACACCCATGGCTCTGAGTGATGCCTCTGTCCCTTTGCTGCAAATCCTTTTTTTCTCCCCCATTTTTCTCTACTTTTAATCACAAGTGTTATCTATACACACGCAGTGCTCCAAATCCCTTTTCTCTGATACGCAGCCCCTTCATTCATGGTCCTTCTCTGACAGAAGGGACAAATTGATACTTAAGGAAACCGAGGAAGATACTTTTCTAATTCCATGTGCGTGGTGGAGATGCTGCTAAAAATCTCTGAACATCTGACTTAGGTCCCAGGAGGCGCTGCCAACCTTGCTGAATGCTGTCAGAGCAATGTTACGAGGAGTCTGCCTTTTAAACCAGGACATCCACTCATTCCTGCATCTCCCGGCAGCAGATGGCCCATGGCTCCATTTCACTAGTATCCAATAGAAAGAACGTAAATGACGTTTTTGTCTTACCTAAGACCCTCAGAGCCACATGCCTGAATGTGTTCCCTAAATTAAAAATGCATCTCATCTAGGGTAAGACATTCAAGGAAAGGATTCGGGAAGGCCTAATTAGAGACTGGCAGATTGACTATGTGCTTCAGCTTCTTCTGGTGAACTGTCTGGCATTAAAATATACAAAAACATGCATGAAACAAAGAAGATTTAAACAAGAAGATCCCATGAAACAAAAGAAAGTTGACACAGACACTACAGCCTTAAAAAGGTCATTCATAGAGGGAAGACAGTGTTGTAAAATGTTAGGCACACAATCCATACAGCATTTTTAAGTTTTTGCTTAGTCTTAGAATTTTTATCTGCCAAGTAGCCCAAGAAATATTGGTGAATTTGATTTAGGATTTGGTAAAAGCATTACATGGTCTTTGTAGAGTGAAAAAAAATTTTTTTAAACTTCGTATAGCACAAGACAACTTTTCTTCAAAGAAAGAAAATAGAAAACATTGGCAATTTTAAGGAACGTAGCTTGGTGATGTTCCTAAATGCAACAGAAATGCATTTCAGTATATTCCTGCTTTTTTAATGAATTGCTCTTTGTTTTTTCATGGCAGGGAACAACTTTAACCATAAATCCTGTTTTGAGACTGATTAGAGACCTGGAGAAGATGGAGATCACTTGTTATCTATGTCATATAACAAACCTGGATTTTGAACTCCGTTGGAAAAAGAGTTTTCTATTTAAAAAAATTAAATGTGGGCACATGGTTTTTTTTTTTTTTTCCCCAGCTTAAATTTTTAGAATGTAGTAAAAGATGTGACAGACTTCTACAAAGTCCGAAAGCTGTGTTTAAAGAAATTCAAAACTGTATGAGTTCTGGAAAGTATTCTACATGAAAAAAGCAAGACCTGGGGGTTAGGGCTGTAATAGCTGTGTGCTTCTGAATCTTTGAGGGTTTCTCCTAAGAGTTGTGCTTCTGGTTTTCCAGAAGGAAAACAAGGTGAGACTATTACAAGGAGAAGTCACGCTTACTAAGTGAATATTTTGTAACATATTTGTTATTGTCAGGTGGGATAGGGAAGCCCTTGAAGTAGTCTTAATATAGTTTATAGTCAGGCATTCATCTAAATAAAATGTTAAGTTTTGTGTGGGTGTGGTTTTTTTTGTTTTGTTTTTTGTTCGTTTATTTTTTTGGTCAAACTGCTAAAGAAAAAGCAACCTTTTTGCTGCAGTATAGAATTAGGTTTGTACTTTATGCTTCTACCAGAGTTTTGAATTTCCTGAGCATATTAATCAAGACCACATTGTGAGACTTCTAGTCAAAATGGTGGAATAGACGGTGCCCAGCATCACTCTTTCCCACAAAACAACAATTTACAACTATAAAAAAACAACGACAGCCAAGCTGGGGCCTCTAGAGCTCAGGGGAAGAGGAGGAGAGACCTATAGAGTGCATGAAGGTGGGAAAAGCCACGATGAAAGAAAGAAAAAACTGCTCTAACTGTGTAGTGGATTGAATTATGTTCCCTCAAAACTCATTGAAGCTTGAATTGTGTCACCTAAGTTTTATGTATTAGAAACTTAGCCCCCACTGTGACTGTTAAGAGGATTGGAAATCCTATTTTGGTAATATTTTGTAATATCCTATTTTGGTAATATTTTGGTGGAGCCTTAAAGAGGTGACTGGATAGTAGGACGGTGCAGTAGTGAATGAATTAAAAATGGTGGTCAGGGGCGTGGTTCTGAGGACTTTAAAAGAAGAGGAGAGTCTGTCTTTCTCTCTCTCTCTGCTTCCACCATCTTGCAATGTGAGACCCCTGAGTCACTGTTGCCACCACCAGAAGGACTTTGGACTTCCCAGCCTCAGAAACTGTGAGCAATAAATTTTGTTTTCTTTTTAAATCACCCAGTTTCAGGTATTTTGTTATAAGCAACATAAATGGACTAATACAGACCATTTGGAATCCCAGCTACTTCCAGGCTGGAGCTGCTGAACACATGGAACAGAAGCTGGCAAAAAGCCTCAGCTATGCCTTTCAGATGAAGTTGCTTGGAGGCGGCAGGGGAGAAGGGGGCCTTGGTGGCCTCCAGGCCAGCAAGACCACTAATAGGGTTCCCGTGGACCCACACAGGAGTGAGGAGCCAGAACAACTGAAAAAAAAGGAGCCACTCAGAGGCTGGTGAGTCATTGCAAGAGACCGGAGTACGGCCTGTCCCATGGGAAGTGTTTGGAGCACAGGCTGTGGACAGGCCCACTGGGAGAACACTGGGGCACAGCAAAGACAGCTGATCTGTCCCCCATTCAGTGTAGGACCACTCATAGGAAACTGGGCAGGAATGTAGAATTGCATGGGGTGCAGTTTGATGAAAAGACTCAGGCCCAGACCAGTGTTTCTACATAATCCAGATGCACCAGATTTCACTAGACCTGGACATACCTATAAAGTCAACTATTAAAACCTGAGCTGCACAAAAAGCTTTTCCTAGGGAATCAGCAGCAAAGCAGCCATTTAGCCCAACCACAGAGCTCAAGTACTGGTCCTAACAGGAAGTCCCCCCATTTTAGAAGTAAGCAAAGGACAGCACAGAGTTTGAGTGGTGGGAACAGCAAATAATCCAACACAGGATTGAAAGAAAAAACCAAGTACCCACGACCAGAGACAAAGTTTGGTATTAACTAGTAAATGTCTTATTTCACCAAAGAACACCTATAACACCTGGAAGAGCTGGAAGCCCCTTGGGCTACCAAGGCAGAAAGGGGAGAGGGCCAGGGGCCTCAGCCATGCCCTCCTGACACCTGCAACCAGTGTCAAGGGTGGGGGCTGAGGGCCTCAGCCACACACCCCTGACAAGCACAGCCACCCCAGCGACGACCACTGAGCTGCCCCAGGAAGTGCCCTGGGCTCTCCTGAGCTGGGGCAATGGGGGGCCAAGGGCCTCAGCCACACACCCTCGACATGCACAACCAGCCCAGTGATGACCACCAAGCTGCAGCAATAAGGGCCGTGGCTTTCCAAGCTGGGGTGGTGGGAGGTGAGGGCTTTTGCCACACCACCCTGACATCTGCACCCAGCCAGGCAATGACCAAGCCACCGCTGGAAGCCCCCTGGTCTCCCCTGTGGGAACGTGGGGGTGCCACAGGCCTCAATCCCGCCCCTCCTCCTTCCTCCTTCTTCCATCACATTTCCTTCCCCTTCCCCACTCCCCTCTCCCTCTCCCTCCCAACTGCTCTGCAACAACATCATAGAATATTAAAAAAAATTAATAAAAATTTTTAAAAAGACCACATTATTGTTAAGTATGTCAATATCCATTTTTTTTAAGCTTTCAGGAACAATACCTAAGTTTAGAGCTTTCTGTTTGTCTAAAGATGAGTTTAATCACCTGTCAGGGAGGGAGTGGGTACTGGGTCAAGGCTGCAGCACTGAGAATACACCTTGCTGATTGGTGGCCTGAGTCAGTACTAATATGTTCCCTCACTGCTTCTGAGATCTAAAGATGTCTTGGGCACATCCCGGATCTTCTCCAGTTCCTGGTATATTAGGTTGGAAAACAGCACTGAAGTACCTCACATGATATAGCTTAACTCATCTGCATTGCTTCTCCTTTGTGTAATACCTCCTATCTAAATTAATTCCTGCTTACACAAAATAGGACAAGAATTTTATTGCAATTAAAATATTTTTTAAATTGTACAGGTACGAAGTCTGCACCTTATATAAATTTTGACTGAAAATGGAAGTTTTCCTCTGTCTTCCTAGCATTCTTTTGAATGGGTAGCTTTGGCGGGGGCAAGGAGAAGGCCAAATAATCATCACTATTAACAATAAATTGCACGTGCAATAGGTTATTATTAATACAGATATTTTACATTAAACATCTTCATGTTTGCCAAAAATAATCTGAACATTTCAATTTATTTCTGATCAGATACAAGCACCCAGGTATAGACTGACCATAAGACAAAATACTTGGTTCACTTTTTTTCCTCAACTTGTTGACTGCCAATTTCACTCATTATGAGTTCACCAGAAACTAAATGTCTGGGCTGGGCATGACACAGTAAAGCTAGTGAAAGCCTTGAAAAATATCCAGGTATTTTGCAGTGTACTTACAGGTAACTCTGTGTGTGTGTGTGTGTGTGTGTGTGTGTGTGTGTGTGTGTGTGTGTGTAGGTAACTCCCTTATCTCAGTATTCCCTTTCATTGCCTACTTATATAATGGATCCTCTATAATTTCAGCACAGGTACAGGCCACTGCTGGGAACTTTTCTACATTTTTGAAAGTAATTGATAATTATCTTTAAAGCATTATGTGTTAATAGTATTTGTCACTACTAAATGTTTGATTTTGTTTATAAAACTTCCAAAGATTTCTGTTTAAGATTTTAAACCTTTTTCCTAAACTTATTTGTGTTAGATGAAAATGTATTTTATCCCAAGTTAACCCTTTGAGTGTGTGCTTGCTGGAAAAATTCTAGATGGACATAAAGGTTGTCTAGAGCAGGTCACCACGTGGAACACTTAGGAGAAGCACAAATTTCTCCTAAGTGAGCCAAAGGAGGATCATTTTCCATGACCCAAGCAGTGAAGTGGGAATTTGGGAATTTTGATGCACATCACCATCTCTGGTTTCCTTTTGCATGACCTTTTCATGCAAGAGCAAATCACCTAGCTCTTCATGAATGTCTGCTCCACACCAATGAAATGGAAGAGAAAAGGAAGGCCTAAACTGTCAGGGAAAGGACAGGAGGGCTTCGGTTCAGGAATAAAGACTTTCATTTCACCTTTGCTACCGCTGAACCACAGTTGAAGGATTGAAGAACACAGTTTCCACAGTGAAGATCTGATGTATGAAGGACAGGGCTAAAGGAACTATCGGTATGATGAGAACTATCCCTAAAGAGCTTCTTTTTGAAAGAGCTTTCCGCACGGTAATTTAATGGCATATAGTTATTTAAAAGTCTTAGGTTAAACTCTCATTTAGGCTGCATGATTGAGGAATGAAATATTCTGAATATTAGAACATTCTCATTAACCTGGCAATATAATATTCAATAAGACTGTTACCTTATTTGAAAACAATAAAATGTAACTAGTACCGAAAGTGCATGGTAAATAATTTAACTTTTTTTTTTTTTTCCTTTTCACTCATAAGGTACTGTGGAGTCTCACAGATGTAGCCTTTATAATTGAGTTACATACATGATTCTTTTTTTGTGGGTTATGGATAAATGGGAACTTATTTTGTAAAATGTGCTTCATTTCCATCACTGCAAGGGTTTAGGGTATTTGCTCCCATTTATGTGGCCTAAAGTTCCATTTACTTTACATAATAAAGTGAGTGCAGATTTTATCTCATTTTGCATGATGACTGGCAGTGGGACACTGGTTTTTTCTTCTGCATTATCTAGTTACCTTGGGTTGGTTCCTCCCTGCCCCACCATCCTCTTTTTTTGGCCACATAGTGAATTGCGATGTAGTTGAACAACCTGACTTAATATTACCTCTGACAAAAAAGATGGAAACTGCACAAATACTCTTTGTAGACTCTAAAAATAGGTTGGCTTAAATATGGCACCTGAACTAATTATTTATTTGTGTGTTTGTTTTATAAATTTCCCTTCCATTTCATGGTTTTTCAGAAGCTAGTATCTTTGTGTCATTTCTGTGTTTTCAACAATGGGTACTTTAACATCTTTCAGTTGCTGAGTTGAATTTCCATTTTGTAATGAGAAGAGAAGACAACATGTTTATTCCATAAGAAAAGAGCTGATCTAAGAAAGTAACTATCTTTATTAAATTGAGATGTTTTAGCCAAGAAAAATATGGGTCATTTTGTTGATTTTTTTTTTTTTTATAAAATGTTTCTAACAATTCCCAGTAGGAATAGGTGGGGCAAGCCTTCCTTATTTACAATCCAGCTGCAATGAGTCAGGATCCTAGCTCATTCTATTCCCACTTGTGTAATAAATGCAGAAAAATGATATGAAGGTCACAATCCTTAAATCCATTATATTGTGCTCCCCAAAGGATCCTGGCTGGTGGTGGCAAAGTGGGAGGGTACCATAATGTAACTGATGATGTAAAGAATTTGCCTGGAAATTTCGTTGACTCGTGCATTTTGTAAAACTTTACACTGCTCCT